TGTTACCTTGGTAGTGGAGTTCAAGCCTAATTGGACAATGATCTGAACTCACCATTTTCTCATGAAAAACAACCGCTTCAGCAAACTGCGCTCTCCAGGACGGCGAACACAACACCGGGTCTAGTCTTACTCTGACTAAGTTAGCTCCTGTCCTCTTATTTGACCAGGTGAAAGGGTTGCCTTTGAACCCAAGGTCGATGAGGGCATTATCAAAAATGAACCTTTTGAAGGGTTCAACATTCTCGTACCTAAGCAGGCATCTCCCCTCCTTTTCATTCTCATAAACTGCAGCATTAAAATCACCTACAATGACCCATTTGTCCTCCCTACTACTCCGAAGGGAGCTTAAATGCTCCCAAAACTCCCTTCTACTAACAGCTGTAGTCGGGGCATGGACAAAAGTACAAAAGAACTTCTTCCCCATGTCAATACTAACATCAACATAATACCTATCACTACTAATTACATCAATACTAATACCCGCCTTCCACCAAACCGCGAAGCCCCTCGACGAGTTGATTGGTTCGACATACTCTCGATTGGGGAAAATCTTGAGACTTCTTCTATGTTCCTCCATGAATTCTTCATTGTTGCAGGTTTCCATTAGAAAAACAATAGAAGGGCCATGACGCCTAATAAGACGCTTAGCATAACTTCTTGTAAGGGATTGGCCAAATCCCCTACAATTCCAACTTATTATACTCATGGGAGATGTGGTGGCTTATGGCGAACCACCGCTGCCGTCGTTTCCCTATTTTCATCTCCGATACCCTCATTGGTCCATTGGGCCTTGTTCTTATGTTGCTTCTTCTTCCTATTGCCTCCACTCTTCCCACCTGCAAAAACAGAACTGGTTGGGCTTAAGTTAAAACAAGCCCTTTCATTCAAGCCAGCCTCACTTCCTCCTGGGCCTTGGGCCGAAAGCCCCTTCCTTTTCTTCATTCTACGGCCCGCCTCCCCTTCCAACTCAGCCTGTATATTTTGATAGTTGTTAAGGGCTTGATTGTTGGGCTGCTGTTCTGGCCCACCACTTCTACCCCCAATTGATTGTGGGCTGGGAATCCCAAGCCCAAGGGAAAGAAGAGATCCCATCGCCCTAGCCTGTCTACATTCTTCTTCTTCCTCCACGATTCTCAGGCTACCTTGCAGCGCCGCCGCCGCTGATTCCAAATCCACCGCCAAGCCTCTCGCTCCCATTTCGACTCTGTATCTTCCTCTCATCCTCCCGGTCTGACCCCTTTCTTCAGCTTGGGCTTCCTCCTCCAATCGGTTCACTGTAAACCCCAGCGGCACAAGGTGATTTCCCCTGCCTCCCCCTCTTGATGACTCGGACTCTGACTCCGCCGTGACTCCCCTGCCGCCGGACTCCCCTGATTGGTAATGCTCCCTCCACGAGGAAGGATCAGATGGAGGGTAGCTAGGTTCCCCTCCTTCAAAGCTTCGGCCTCTGCTACTATTCGACCTATATGGAGAATCAACTCATGCCTTGAGCTCAGCGGTATAGATTTTCGATAGAGAGACCTGGCCTCTCCGCCTCTTTTCTTCCTTCATTGTCGCACAAGTCGGCCAATTGTGGCCAATCTTCCCACAAAAGTAACAGAGTTCCACAAGCCTTTCATATTTGAATGTTACCTCTTCGCAGTATTCAATACCGGTTGCTTCATCAGTGAAGGGGAAATCAAAACCCGTTGGAACTGGCTCGCTCAGCTCTACTTCAGCAAGCATCCTGATGAACTTTCGATAACCATTGAAATGGAGGCTGGCTCTGTCCACATCCATGAATTTCGAGAAATAGAAGGTCCCTATTGAGACTGCATTCTGCTCACATCTCTGGCTTTGGTGCAGCCCATGTATCTGCACCCAGACAGCAAGCTTGTTCATAGACACAGCTTCCGGCTCTCCCCTTCCATCAAACTTCATCAGAGCCGTCATTGTATTTGAGAGGCTCCATGGTCTCTCTTGGCAGATTCTCTCGCGAATCTTTGCATCATTGAAAGTGAAGATGAACAAATTCTGGGTTTGTGTTGGTTGGACTCCGATCTCTCCGTATTTTCCCCAGGCGTACCTTGCTGCCCCTGCTGCCTTAGCTAAGGCAACTCTGTTTTCAGTCATCATCTTCCCTAGCAGCATCGATATTCCCCGGCCTAGGATGGTGGTCAGCTTTGGGCGGTCACCTCTGCCCCCTGAGGAAGATGGGCTGAACCATTCGGTGCTCAGGTTCCCCGTTCTCTCGGCTAACTCATTGATATCCATCTTGTTCCTGACTCTCCTTCTTTGGTGCTTTGGGTCTGGGAAGTGTTTTGAAACAGGCAGATAAGTCGGGAGGAGAAAGAAATCAGAGGTTGTAGAGCTCTGATAAGTGGGTTTGGCTCTACTTCCTCCTCTCTTCTTTAATACAGTCCCACTTTGTGCATATGCAATTACTTCTCTTCCTTGTGGGTAGATATCCTTCCTTTCACCCCTCCCATCATCTTTATGGCTTTCTCTAGGTAATAGTCTGCCCTCCTCCTTAAATTCCTCTGCTGCACTTGGCTCAATGTTCTGCAGAAGTCGATTCTTATCCCTCACCGAATCTTCCTCATATCCTACTTTGACCAACTCTTCACTCCAACTCTCTACCTCTCCCCCTGCTTTTCCCCTGCCAAGGGACCTCTCAATCCCATCTGGAGGCTTCCTCTGTATTTTTCTTTTCTTCCTCACCGTTCCTGTACCAGCGACATCTATTACACCAACTGATTCTCTTGGACTAGGGGCACTGTCTATCACTCTTTCCCCATTTAATTCGAAATAGACTAATGCAGGGGAGTAGGAGAACGATATCAATCTATCCCTAAGGCAATCAGCCTCCAGAAGTTGCTCACAATGAGCTGTAAAAGTCCCAAGCGGAGGAGACAGTATACGGAACTGTTGACAGTTCAGAGAAAATAGCCGTTAGAGAGAGAGACATGAGAGAGAAACTTTTTCTCAAATCGGATTACTTGTTGCTGGGAGTTAGAGGTGGCAAATCGAATGAATTCATAGATTGGTTTCTTCGATCAAAATGAAAAGTTTAGGTACTACACATGATTTCTTTTCGTTTTAATTCCAGACGAGGAAGGTTTTGGGCTCAAGTGAAATCAAATTAATTGAGCCCAGGAGAACTGTGGAGTAGTCCCCAACAGTAGACTGGTTAGTGTGTGCGACTGTCTTCGATCAAAATCTCTCTTCCACCGCACTTTCGCCTTCGCAAGAACCAGTTCTGAGAAACAACTGACTGAGGGTTCGTCAAGGAAAGGTCAAAAAATCAAGAGGAAGAGAAGGGCACTAGGGCAGTAGAAATTGGGGTTGTGAGGTCTTGCACTATCATCTTTCGCGTCTCCCCCTTCGATTTTCTTTGTCGATTGTGGTTTCCCGATTGTTTGTTCTCCTATTTTATTACCAACGCCGCCGCCGGCGACCTCAACCTTAAACTTCAGGTGAGCTTTCCTTGTTCTTTCTTTGTTTCCTCGATTCGAATACTGTAACTTCTGGGGTTGCCGCGGTTGGATTTGGGTGTGGTTGTTCTGCTTAGTATACAGTTCGATTGGAATCGTCGTAGCAGTTGTTACTTGTTACATTGAATTGGCTAGGTTAGAAAGTGACTATGAGTGAACTTGGAATGGATCTTCATCAACCGTCGTTTTCCCTCCTTCAATAGTTTAGGTACAGAAAGTAACTATGAGTGAACTTGTGGAGTTACTGTAAGTGGAAGAGCAATGATGGAATTTGTTGTCAGTAAGTAGTTGTGGAGTTGCAGCGCAGCTACCTGCTTCTTCTGGGGACTGGCTAGGTAGGTATTGCCTTTTGACTTGTTAGATTTCTGAAGGTTGTACAGGGCTATGGCTGGATTTTCCGCTTGAATAGCTAGAAGTTTACTACAGAAATGAGAGACGACAGTGGTTCAATGCAGCCTAGCTGCTGCTGTTAAACACTTGTGCCGCTGAAACCCTGATGCCAATAGTGGATAATTCCTAGAAGATGGTTATTCTGACTACCTTTATCAGTTTGCATGATTTGATTGTTTCTCTGAATCAAATGAAGAAGAACACATAGCATTGCGTCAATCCCACTGACATCTTTTGTGTGCCCAACATTTCCTGCGATTCGATCACTTATAGTCTTGCTAAGTGCCGTCATGATTGGATGTTGTGTTTTTAGGATATATCATATACGACGATGATTTTCCTGAAGAGTTTTATGTTACACTGGGTTCTTGGTTCTTAGCTATGATTTTGATGCTCCTATAATTGTTTTCGGAAGCATTTCAACGATTAGAACTTATGGGATTGAATCAGGTTAGCAAATGCTGGGCTTTTGATTAAGCTTGCTCTTTCATTCACAGAGAAAATGGCCGGAAGATCCGAAATGCAAGCGAAAGAGCCGGTAAACGAGCAGATGATAGCAAACATGTACACATCCATGAGAACCGAACTAAACCAGATATACTCCAAAATCACAGAACTGGAGATGGAAGTGAGCGAGCACTCATTGGTCATTAACGCCATCCAACCCCTAGACCCTGCCAGGCGCTGCTACCGCATGATTGGAGGTGTGCTCGTTGAGAGGAACATCAAGGAGGTCCTACCAGCCGTGCAGCGTAACAAAGAAGGGATCGAGGAAGTCATCGCCAGGCTGAACGAAGCCTTGGAAAAGAAGAAGAAGGAGATCGCCGACTTTGAAGCGAAGTACAAGATCAGGATTAGGAAAGGTGATAGTGACATGAAGGATGAAGAAGGTAGCAAGAAGGAAGGCGGCTCTCAGGGTGTCCTCGTGGGCCCTGCCGGATCAGCCGAATAATGTTTTGCTGCCTTCTGAATCACTGATAAGCAAATTCTATCCTCGTTTTCATGATCGTTTGTTTGCGTCGCCATTCTGCATACCTTCTTAGATTGAGTAATCCAGTTTCAGTGTTCAATCACTCTTGTCCATTTTCGTGTTCGTAATCTGTTTCATGAGGTAATGTAATGTCCGAGGGAAATTCTGAAACTTGTATGCGTTTATTACTAATGGGAGGCTGCAAGTTTGATTCCGATACAGAAAGGAACAACCAAAGTAGATGCAATTGATCGCCAAATCCTCAAACTGAATGTGTATAAATAGGAATCTGAATTACATGGTTGGATGATGACTTGATGAAGCAGAATAGTACAGAATAATAATCGTGTTTCGTTCTTCTTAACTGAAGAAATCCTGAACGCCTCTACCGGCGAACGCCTTATCGGAGAGCTCGGCAAGCAAGGCATTGACGGTGAGCAAAACGACGCTGGAGCCAGCAATGACGCCCAGTACCACGCCTGTCGTTCCCAAAACTTTACCGAAGGACGGCCATTCGATCTCTCGAATCTCCTCCGCCACTCCGCTAAACAGATCCCCGCCAATCCCGGCGCCACCGCCTTCTTCGGCTTTCTTCCTCTCCATCATCGCCTTCCTTATCTCTTCTCCCAACTCGCTCTGCTCCTGTCCGCCTTTCTCGCTCGGAGTCGCCGATGGTTCCGCCGCCGCCGTCCTGGATTCATTCAATCGCTCCGATTCCGTTTGCTCCTCCCGGCTCTCTTCAACTGCTCTCCTTGCGAGGAGTCCAGTTCGCGGTTTGGGAAGTCGGGACCTGAAGAGGGTAGAAGAATGGATTGGTAGAGATTTGAATCGGAGATGAAGGGAGGGGGAATGGAGATTGGAGGGATATGGATGAAGAGGTGGCTTCAGGGGAAGTTTCAGCGACAGAGTGTTGGAGAGCGCCATTTCTGTGTTGGGCGAACTCCCAGCCGACTGTCAATGGCGGATAAGAGAAATCCGGGTCATTGAGCGCGGATAGATGTCGTGGGCTTACTGGGCTCAATAGCCTCGGTAGGATGGGCCTCAGTGATATTGGTCCATTTCGGAATTCGATTTGAATTGCCAGTTTCGGAGTCTGGGCTTTTGCTGAGCCGATATGTACCATTACCGACTTGTGTATGTAAAACATGTCGATATAACGATATTCGATACACACAAGACATGAGAGAAGAAGGGGGAAGCAGCATCATCGTTCTCTTTTATTGATCTCACTTGCATCTTAGATCGAACTCGAATTCATTAGGTAATCAATTTAGTCAAAGCGAGTCAAATTCAATCTTGATTGGTTTTGGCTCGGGTATGAGTTTTACCCGTTTTTCATCCAACTCTTATCTAAAAAGTAAAACAACGTCATGTATGTATCTAACATGAACAATATGGATAATTTATGAATGCTATTAGTTTTTATGTCAGTAAATATCAATCAAATACTATGGATAATTTATGTATGTTATTAGTCTTTATAGATATATTTACAGGAATATATTTTATATCATTACGATATGGGTCTTCGGAGAAATAATGTCCAGTTATGCTCGTTAGCCCATAAATACCTATGCACCGTAGGTGCCTTTTTTTTATAACAGAACACCGTAGGTACTCGTTGGTGGGGTTGAATTTGCTCTTCTAAAATCTATAGGATATTTTTCGAGTTTTTTTTATTAATTGGTGCACCAAGGTGCCTTTTTTTTATGACAGTACACCGTAGGTACTAGTTGGTGGGGTTGAATTTGCTCTTCTAAAATCTAAAGGATATTTTTCGAGTTTTTTTTAATTGGTACACCTAATAGGTTGAGTTTGGGTTCAGATACCCAACTCATTCCTAAGTACAACCATGCAAAACCATGCTTCAGGGAACTTGTGGTCAGCTTTATGCTGTTTATGGTCTAATTATGAGTTTTGTGGTGTAATGGGATTTATACTATTTGTTGTATGCTTTCTACATATATGAGGTTTGTGATGTTATTTATCATAATTCTGGTTAGTTTTATGAGTATTATGGTCTGATTCAGAAAATTTGTGGTTAGTTTTCAATTTTCTATTATGTTTTTATCATTTATGAGATTTGTGGTGCGGTAAGCTTGTGACCTGTTTTATGCGTTTTGCAGTGTGGTTTGTCATTTTTCTGATATGAATTTTCTAGTATGTTTGATGATGCTTGTGGTCAACCCTTACCATATAAAAAGTCATCAAACTGAAATATTTTCATTAGTTGGAGTTAATATTAACACCCTATTCCCAACCAAACAGTTAGTGTTTGTTTTACAAATATGTTTCATACTTTTTTTAAATATTTTATTTATTTACTATAGAATTAATCCCTTTATATTCTGGTTATTCTCTATCCAGTTTCATTAAATTTATACATCACAATCAATTTGTATCGTTAAGTTAGCTACGTGTCAATTAAAAAAATCAAAATCTTTCTAATTTCAATTCATCTCTATTCCTCCACCTACGGTCTTCAATTTGAGTGGTTACTATGATAACTATTTTAATCGGTTATATTCGAATAATTTGATTTGGTTAATTAGAATAATCGATTTGGTTTGGTTACACTTTTTAGCTTGTTTGGTTTGGTTAATCTCACCAATTAACCAATCAGGCAAATAGCCATATATCTAATACATTTATATAACACATATTTAATACTTTGGATAACCACTCATGAATAGTTAAAGTTTTCTCACTTTTGGATCCATACAAAAAAAGCTCATGATTGTGCTTATACTATATTTTTTCGTTGAATATACTATATTTGTTTTCTAGAGTGCAGGCAACAATACATGCGCTCATAATTTAGACAAAGTTTATAACTTATGTTTAGAGGTGGCAATTTCAATCCAATCCACCAATCCAATCCATTAATCCATTAAAAATATCCACCTAATCCAATCCATTGAAATCCAATCCATTTAATCCAAATCCAATTGGATTGGTGGATTCATGGATCATTGGCAAATTACGGTTTAGTACCTATAATTTTTATTTTTTACATTTTGGTACCTAAAATTTAATTTTTATACGAAAAATATCATTGGAAAATTACATTTTGGTACCTAAAATTTTTCATTATGACATTTTAGTACCTAAACTTTTTATATTTTACATATTGGTCCTTGGTTGAGGATGTCATTTGGATTCATGGATAATCCACCAATCCACTTGATCCAATCCATGAATCCACCAATCCATTTGATCCATGGATCCACCAATCCATCAATCCACCAATCCAATCCATTTGCCACCTCTACAGTTATGTTGTATGAAAAGCTGAAAGGGAATAGATTTTTCAGCCTATGTGTTTTCCGGCGAGGAAAAACTTGTGTTTGAACACAATGAATGCATCTTTGACTTCTTGAACAACGACAATCAACACGGTTCACTCCTCTCCGAACAATGTTTGAACGAGGGTGTTTGATGTTTTTGATGGTTTTTGGGAATAATCTAAGTTACGCTACTCTACTCCTATGGAGGTTCAGTGAGAGCTACGAAAACTAAGGGCTATGGCTAATTTGCAGAGAAAGGATAAAAGTTTGACATAGTGTGTCAAATAGTTGGTTGTGGAACCCTTGCTTCATTTTCGTTTCTCCTATTTATAGTCATCCTTTGTAACCGTCGTGCAACAGCCTCTTGGTAGCCGCTGCTCCACTGCTTGGTGCTGATGTAGCTTGCTTGATGCCTTGACTGTCTTGCGTGCTTGCCACTTAATGTCCCCTTGTGCCATGGAGGTGTCTTGTTTGGTGAGTGAAGGCTTCACGCTTGGTGGTACTCGTGCTAACCACCTTGACATGACGTCATGCTCGACACCAGGGTGATTGGGGGTTTGATGGATGCACACTAACCCCCTTGGGGTGGCATCATGCAGGGTCTTGACAAGGTGGTCTACCATGTTATGATATACATGGCTGACACCCTAGCGTTTGGTATCGGTGCTTGACCCCCTTGGACGGTGTCATGTTTAACCCCCCTTTGTGGTTGGATCTCCATACTTAGCCAAATTTTGTCTCTCTTTGCCACCACAGCTAGCTTGCGTCTCGTCATACTCGACTCACCTTGGATGGTATCATGCTTGACCCCCTTGGACGATGTCATGCATGGCCCCCCTGGTGAAAGGTAGGTAGATGGCATAGTGCTTGACCCCCCTTGTGCTATGGGTTTCAACACTTAGCCAATTTTCGCCTTCTTTCCCATCACGGTCTAGCCCCCCTTGGACGATGTCATGCATGACCCCCCTTGTGGTTGGATCTCAACACTTAGCCAAATTTTGGCTTTCTTCGCCCCATCATGTCTAGGCGGCTGACCCTTTTGCATGACATCATGCTTGACCCCCCTGGGATGATGTCATTCTTGACCCCCCTTGTGTTGTGGGTCTCAACACTTAGCCAAATTTTGGCTTTCTTCGTCCCATCATGTATAGGGGTAATTACCCGCGAGGTAGGTAGGCGGCTGATGGGGCGAAATTTTGGCTAAATATGATGGGGTGCCAACTTGGGTGGTTGATGTTGAAGGGTGTCAACACGCTTGACACTTGACCCCTCTTGCGTGACGGATGGGTGTTTGGTGGGTCAACTAGTGTGTGTTGAGGTACCTGGTATGAAGCCCAAAATACCATCATTTAGGCCCAACTTAAACCAATTTAATTAACATGGTTAAGTTGGCCTTATAAATCACTACGACTCCTTGAAAATAATCAATGTGGTATTGAGTGATTTTTTAGTGGTAAACACTATGATAACGACTAAGAGTCTAAAACAATTCATACATACACACCTGATTCATTACCTCGTATCATTGATATATTGTTATTGTTAGGTGGCTAGTTTAATGACAGTAAGATAATTATATTAGCTGCATTTAGAGAATAGTTTTTCTCTCTTATGATTTATGTGTCATTTATTTATATATACGTACACTGGTCATTACCATATATACATATTGATAGAAATTAATCGTTTTTCATATGGGAAGTTCTATGGTACCTAGGGTGAAATCCAGGGTACCACATACCTTGAGTATGAAAACGCTATTCAGACCATAAATTGACTGATCTTTCGGACATAATATTGTACTCTAACCCTTAAAGATCAAAATCTAGGTCTTAGTTCTCTAAATCTAATACTCCAAGATTAATTTAATTAGAATAATAATCGACGGTTATGATTCGTCCAAATAAAGGCAAAAAATGAATGCACCATCTTAGGATTTATAGTTTATAATTTAGATAATTAGGAACTAGGGTTCACTCATTAAGGGTCATGAGTATAGAATCAGGTTCAAAAATCCTGCTAATTCGAGGTCTAGATAGCATTTTCATACTCAAGGTATGCGGTATCCTAGATTTCACCCGGAGTACCGTAGAAGGCACCTCATACGTGTGTGTGTGTGTGTGTGTGTGTATATATTATGGATTGATGTGTTAAGCGAATAGTTTTTTCTCAAGTACGTAGTATAATGTTTATGTTATATTGGTTAACACGATTAACCAATTCACCAATCCGATTAAATTTTAGTTTGGTTAATTTGGTTGTTTTATTAACTTGGACGGTTTGTTAAGATATTGTATTCAGTGATTAATAGAATTTAAACTTAATTGGTTTAGTTGAGATTAAGGCTGCAAATGAGTCAAACTGCTCATGAGTTGTTTAACTTTCGTTTCAGGAACAACTCGTTCAACTATCGACTCACTTACTAACAAGCCGAGTTTGAGCTAAACTTGTTCAAATCGCGAGGCTTGTGAGTTAGCTCGACTCAACGACTTGTTGAACTTAACTCATGAGCTAGCTCGTTTTGAGCTATATGAGCTAGCTCGTTTTGAGCTATATGAGCTAGCTCGACAATATAACTAGTGAGTCACCTCAACTAACAACTTTAGGGAAGTTGATTAATAGCTTATCATTGACTTATTGATAAATCATAGGTTTTTTAGATTTATAATTTAAAAGAGAAATTATGTATCATAAATTGCTCAGATACTAATTCATATTGAATAACATGATAACAATTCAAATTATGAAATAAATGATCTGATACCTAAGCTCAAACCAATTTCACGAGTTAATTGATGGGCCGAGCTCGAATAATGCTCCTGAACTCATTAATGAGTCGTGCTCGAAATTTTTGTAAACAAGCGGAGCTCGAACTTGATTCGTTTGTTAACGAACTGAGTTCAATAAATCAAAACTCGACTTAACTGGACTCATTTATTACGATAGCTGATATGCATATATTCACTGCCATTGACTCTGCCCTCGAATTATAACTCAAGTCACAGATGGTATAAAATGTTGGGAACTAACTATATATAATGTTGAATATTCAATAGTTATCGTGCCGACATCAGTTTTTTTTGTCTTGAGTGCATGCAGATAGATCCAACCGTGCATGGAAATGGCCACAATTCATGTCATTTCCTTTTTACTAACGTCTAACCCTACACTCGCTAAATGACAAACAAATGATGCACCCAGGCACATTGCCGCTCCAAGCTCACTAATTAATTAAACAATCAATTATTCTTCATAAATTTTACATTATAGATATGGTTTTGTCATTGATGTACTTTTTCATATTATGCAATTATCTTATAATCGTTATTCTTATTTCTTAACATGCAATTTATGTCAAAACGATGTTAATTGTCACTTGCGTTATCATGCACGTAAACACATGAATTTGCAGAAAAATAATTCAAGAATTACTTTGATTTGAAGGTTTTAGAGTTTAGTGTTTTAGGGTTAAGGTTTAGGGATTATAATTTGGGATTTAGGGTTAGTGTTCAAAATTGAAGGTTTAGAGATTAGGGTAAGAGACGGAGTAGTTGTGATCCTAGGGGTGGTAATCGGTAAACCGGTATTCGGTATTACCGGATACCGTACCGGATACCGACGGTATCGGTATTCGGGCGTATAATTTTCCATTCGATAATACCGAATAATAGCCGGTAAATACCGACGGTATACCAGTATACCGAATATTAAAAAAAAAAAAGCAAAACGAAGCGCACAGGGGCAAGGGTTTGGCGGAAGAATTGCGAATTGGATTTGTTTTGCGTCTTTGCAGTTGAGCAACCCAACCCAGCCAAATCCCTAATTTGAAAATCGCTCACCTCTCTCTGATTCGCCGCCCCCAGCCTCGGCCGCCGCCTCCAGCAGCCCACCCTCTACTCCAGCAACCTCCTCTTCTCTTCACCACCATTCCACCAGCGTCCAGCAGCCGCAGTTGTCGCCGAAGCTGCAGCAGTCACCACCTGCAACAGTCGCTGCTGAGTTCTAGTTCACCAGGTTTTGTTTTTTCCCCGTGGTATCCAAGTTCTGAAAGGCATGTTTTATTTACACTTTATTACAATGTGGTTCACTTAGTGGGACGGTTTTGTGACTCTCTCAGCTTTCCCTTTTACTGGTATTAAGTTGTAACATGTGTGTAGGCATCACATCAAATGACAAATGACAAAACCTACTATGTGTTCCAGGAGCTGGCATAGCGCTGCATTTTGTTTCTTTGTGGTTATGTTGTTCATGACTTGCCTTGTCCGTTGAAGTATATTGTTCATGGCTCGCTAAACGTCCTCTCAATGTATTACTCGGCATTCGGTATTCGGTATACCGGTTAATATTCGGTATCGGTATTCGGTGGGTACACTGTATGTTTTCGGTATCCGGTAGCCCTATGTGTTCATATGTTATATCATCATATCACACGAACGTTACCAATTAAAATCCAAAATTTGATGTCTTAAAACTGCACTCAACTCTAAAAGTAGTCATAAGACATCGAATTTTGAATTTTAATTGGTAGCATACGTCTGATATGACGATATAACATAGGATCCCAACTAACCAATCTATTAGATTTTTTTTAAATATTAATCAATCCCTAACCCTAACCCCTAAGCCTTCAATTTTGAACTCTAACCCTAAACCATAAACCCCTAAACTCTAAAACCTTCAAATCAAAGTAAATGCTGAATTTTTGTGCAAATTCATATTTTTTTCGTCCATCATATCACAAGTGATGATTCACATTATTTTGACATGAATTGCCTTCTCATAATGACGATTATAAGACGATTGGTTGAATGCACTAAAAAAAGTGGGTGTAGCGATGACAAAACCATATAGATAACCTCTCTGGCCTTTCTACTCATGCGTTATTTGTTTGATTACATGCCGGCCAGATAGGTAATAACCAAGCTTTGTAAAACTGTATTAAAGCGGTACTGGATGAGTTAATGATAGACTATTTTGTGTTTAATTAAACTATAATTTTACGATTACATACCAATAAAAAATATGCTGGAATGAGTTTCGACAAACAATTTTTTGCAGCCGAACTGTCCATACGATACGCTTTAGTGAACACAGTTAATTACACATTCTAAACTGAAAACCAAAATTTCCCAAATTAAACCAATTCAACACATAGCAGAATCTGAACACTCTCTGAAACTATAACGACTGTTTCTCAGATTCTGGCCGTTTCAGCTGGAGGTATCAATTAATGGCCAGCAAGCTAAATTGTATAGTTTTCTTAGTTCCACTACGTACACTCCAGTCGCATTGAGTAGATCTTGTTTCATATATTATTGGGTAAGTGCCACATTTGGTCACTGAGATTACTAAATCATGTCATGTTTAGTCACTAGAAAAATTAATATCAATTTTGGTCTCTTGAGTTACTTAAACATGTCACATTTAGTCACTCTCCAGTTAGTTTCCGTCCAACTTCGTTAACGGAGTGACATTCATAAATAAAAAAAGTAAGTCGAGTAATCGGAGTTGGACGGAGGCTACCGGAGAGTGACTAAATGTGACATGTTTCAGTAATTCGAGTGACATTCATAAATAAAAAAAGTAATTCGAGTGACCGGAGTTGGACGGAGACTAACGGGAGAGTGACTAAATGTGACGTGTTTTAGTAATTCGAGTGAACAAAATTGATATTAATTTGTTCTAGTGACTAAACATGACATGATTTAGTAATTCCAGTGACCAAATGTGGCATTTACCCTTATTATTGAAAATAACATAGTAAAGAACACATAAAATAAATGCATTATGTAATGTTGCACAATTTCCAACTAGGGAATACTACTACTGCTACAGCACTGCCGCCGGGGACCTTCCGGTGGCGGCGGAGGAGGAGGAAGAATAGGAGCCGGCGACGGCAGCAATCCGACGACGGTGTCGGCGAAGGCGGAAACAATGTAACCGTGAGTGTTCTTTGGGTTCATGGCGAGGTAACAGGAGAGCAGCTGGTGCAAGTAATCCCAATTCCCACGTGCGTCGACGATCCGCCGCGACTCTATCATCTCCTCCATCGACTTCTTGAAGTCCGAGTACGGATCCGGCGAGTATTTCTTCACCGCCACCACGCCCCCGTCCACCGGCGGCGGCCGACTACTAGGAGGGTTCACTTCCTCATCGGGACGATGGGATTTGAAGATGGAGTTGGAGAGGCCAGGGGAGGAGAAGAAGAAGCGCCGGGAGGCAAAGGCGGCGGCGAAATCCGGGGGAGGCCGTGAGTGGTCGGAATGTTCGGAGTACTCCGAGGATGTGGCGGTGGCTGCGGCGGCGGCGGAGGAGGGAATGTCGAAGACAATGGATGACGTGGCATCGGCGTAGGGCGGATGAGGCGGGTCGGGTCCGGCCGGTTCGGAGGGGAACGGGGCAGGAGCGGTGGTGGGGAGGCATTGGAGGAGAAGGTTTCTCCAGAAGAAGGGTAGTGTGGGCATTTTTTGTTTATTTTGGTTGGAGCGATAGAGAAGAAAGAGGTGGAAGTGGCGAGCGAGACTAATTATTGGGCGTTGCAATGGGGAGTATTTATTTACTTTGGTTACAATGGTAAGTACGTACTACACGAGGAATTGACAGAAAAGGCGACTTGATTATGTTGGCTTAACGGCGGTCACAGCTTTGCTCAACTAGGGTTTTCGACTTACCGTGGAAAGGTGAGGCTACTTGCACTACGTGCATGGTACATGGATTGCACCCTAACATATTTGGGCTGTGCAAAATACACGGGCTAGCTAATACATGGTTATTTAACAGACTTATCTCGAAATTGATGATCCTCGCTCTGGAGTATCAATTTGCTAGAGAGAAATCAATAATGTCGACTAATCGTGAAAAAAGTTTGTGAGAAAATCAACAACCTGCTTCGTAGTCGGAATGTATCAATTAGCTACATGAACCAAATTATGAATGTAGTGGAGATACGATTGTGGAGCTGAGGATTGACATCGATTTGAATCACGCGCTGGTATTATCGACATAGAGGACAAAGCCAATTCGAAACGCGACCCTCCCGCATGCTGCCTCCTCGAATAAATAAAAAATTTATGTGTTTGCCAAGCCTAGCTATGTCCTTCCCATTCTAAGGGACAACATAAAGAGTAAACTTGCCAATTAAATTCTATTCCCAAACATTATCTCGTACATTTTCGCGACATTTTTACTATTTTGATGCATATCTATTAATTTAACTAGTGTTTTACTCCTTTATTGTTTATTTTTATAACAGTTTTGTAATAATTTTCAGATTTATACACAATGGAAGCGAATGCCAGATCAGACCAGTGTGAATTGAGAAAACTTGATTCACGAAAACTACAGGCCCATTACAGTCCAAACATGCTCCAGAGCCCGCCCAGATTCCCATGGCCCACAGCCAGACGCAAAGTCCACATCTGCGCGTTGAAAAACTATAGCAGGTAACACGCTACTCCATTTGTTTTCAGCTGTCAGTCGACCTCCTCTTCCTCGCCTCTGTCAGCAGAAGAATCCTAGAAAGAAAGAAAAAAAAAAGAATTCTTCGAGAAGTCAAAACACAAATCAAATTCTGGAGGGATCTCAGGTAGGGGTGGCTATATGGTCAAGTCCGGTTAAATTAGATCAAATTGGGAATATAAGGACCAAAGATTGGATTGGATACAATCCGGTCCGATCTTGACCCGGTCCGGTCCCAATTTGATCTTGATTTTAGGTGTTGGGGGTCTCTTATCCGGGGTTTTTTTTTACCTCAAATCTAAGCCCGAATATGAGATTGGATTGTTTCATATCCGGTCCCAGTCCGGTCCGAGTTATACGGTCCGATTTCAGATAAAACCAAACAGTCCAGACCAAATAGTCAACCCTAATCTCAGGTAGTAAGCATAGCATAACTAAAGAAACTACGCCGTTTACTTCAAGAAAGGGAAAGCTTACACATATTACACACCAAAGGTAAAACAGTACCCATACATGCAACCACGTATAGTTACTTAACTGGAAAGCTTCGTCCTCTGTTTCCTATTACCAAGCATTCTCACGGGACGACATCTTCATTCAGACGGGGAGCAGCAACTTTTGCTGGATTCATTGGCGAAGGCTTTAGAACTTGTCCCGATATGGGGGTAAATTTCGGAGGAATAAAAATACTTCAAATATATTTATATTGGTGATGGAACACAACACGTATAGGTAGTATTAGAATATTTGCTTACTACAACACAACTTATTAGTTGTTAAAAAAATTAACATAAAATTAATTTATTATACTATAAATGAAATTCCAATTGCAATAAAGACCTAATCAGATCTCTTTTCTCCTTATGCCTATTCAATCTTTTCTTCAAGAATCCTGAAATTTGTCTAGCGACATCGGCAATTCCACTCATTTTGATTCTGCCAATTACAACAGCAAGTGTAAAAAGAGCATTTTTCTGCTTTGAGTTATATTAAGAACACATTTCCAAGTCGATTTGGCGACAAGTTTGCTAGTGCTTGTTTAGTGAGATACATTGAAGGAGACTTATTTAATAGTGTAGATAACGAATGCTTTTGCGTTTCTTTCACAATATGAAAGTCTGGTTGTTTATGAAAACGATAATTGTATAGTCGGTTATTTTTAATCAATGAATGAATGAATTATTTGGATATAATAATTTTTTTATTTCTTAATAAATAATTTTTAATTAAATCCTAATCCTAACACTAATATAAAGAGGTTCTTCCTGAGAACATGGTTAATTGTGAATTTCGAACATTCTGAGTAAATTTAGGAAGGATATGTTTGTCCACTTGATTAATAAAAATTCGGCTTTTACACTTCTACTAGAAACTTGAGGCTTTGTTGATTGTACTAATAGAAAAGAGATTCCGTAGGAATCGTTTTAAAACTAATGAATATATTATTGTTTTTAGTTAGGTAAGATGGTTGCGTGCTGTAAAGTTTAATTTGTTCATTTTGATTTCTTTTATTATAAGGTTAGGTTTTTGAGGAAAATTATTATATGTTTGGCTTTGCTAATTAACTCATTTTTAATAACTTAACTTAGTTGTAAAAAAATTAATCCTAACCGCATACTTTTCAATTATAACTTTGGATTTGAGATTTTTCATAAAACATATAAAAATAAAAATTTAACGATTGATAAGGGTGAGAAGATTTATGAATATAATTATAAGTGATTGTCTAACTAATTATTAGTTTATTCCTCAGTTTTTCTTTTAGATATTCGTTTTCTCTTAGACCGATGAAATGTATATCACAATCCACATCAAGAGACTAGAAGTTCAAAATTTATAGCCAGTAGCTAGATAAATTTTTTCATCGATTCTTTTTTTGAACAACGATAACAAAAATAAGAGATCATACCACCTTAAATCTAGGTTTGTGATGTATAGTTTTCTTTTACCATAGCGGCAAGCAGACAACTCCATTTTTTTCATAACTTTGCATGGTTTTGATCAAATATTAGTGGAAAAACTATATTAGTGCAATGATACTTCTTAACAAAACTTCATTTGACACTGACATATTTTTTTTCTTCTATGCCTGTTTAAGTTGTATTTTGATTTTTTAAATTAATTCCAGTTATTAAATATTATGTTTATTGATTCTATGCCTCGAAAACACATTCACCTTGTAGGATCATATAATTGACAAAACAATGCTCCAATATGATCATTAAACAACCAAGTAAAAAGGATGGAATTTGGTGCATAACCTCCTTTAGTTACTGCTAGCACAAATCTCATCAAGAGCTATAGTCAAGAGTTTTTCAATTTCTCACAAATTCAGCGAATTATATCTCATCCATTTCAACTTTGATTTTGACTTTTTTTAAAACCATATTAATTGAAACTTGCCAAAGAAAAGTTGAAGAAGACTAATGAATAATTTTATAAGAATTAAACAACAATATCAAAGTCAATAGTAGTTAGGCAATAATTTACCTCTACTCTTCTGTTGTTTTCAACTTCAAGGTCATTCATTCGAGAGAAAACAAAATACCCACTAAAACATATAAAAAAAATTGACCAAATAGTGTCTCTCAATTGTTGTTATTTTATATATTTAGGACTAGCTGCCAGTTGCAGACAACATGGTTTAATCTAACTTTATTGGAATGAGCTAGATTTTTGGAATGTATAATGAGAAACTACTCAAAGATACTGTCAAAATGAAAGAACTTTCACCTCATCGTCGCATCCTAACTAAGAGCAGGAAGTTAAATTTTCAGAATAAACTCACCGATTACAACATCGCCGAACCCATAAGTGGACACATAGTTTTGAAGATAATGATGAAAGAGATTATTGATGGTGGATAAAGAAATTTCAAAGATGGAAAGAAAGAGTGAAATGTTGATAATATTTATGATTTGGATGAGGTGAAATTCTACTATCGTGAAAAGATGTTTCACATTTTCAAACACTGGGAAGAATGAATAGATTGTTGATGATGAATATAAAGTTTCATTAATGATGATGAAGTTGTGCACAGAAGATGTGTTTTATGGCGGAGAAATAAAAAAGAAATCCAAAAAGGAATTTGCAGTAATTTCTAACATCAAAGAGTAAACTGAAGTGTGTTTTGAATATGAAGTTTTTTAAAATTAATTGAGTTGTGGTGTTTCCTTTTGATAAGGACTTCTGTTGATGACTAATCAAGATGCTGTACAACTTATGATGTATGTTTTATTTTATATTTTTAGTAATTGAACAATTAGGATTAGTTTATGGTAGCAAATAAATTATTTTGATAATTACTATTATTGTGTATAGTATTAATTCATCCGCCCAACGGGTGGGCCCAAATCTAGTACTTATATATTTATGTTATGAAAAGAGGACATGAGTGCTTTGAAAAGCTGCCTCCGTATTAAAAAAAAATATGAAAACCTCCGTCATTGGCTAGATTCGTCCACAAGGTCGGGTTGTTCCTCATCTCTGCAGTCATCACTCCTTCCGCATCCTCCCTCATCATTTAAATTTTGTATTTTCGATCTCTGCGAAGAATTTTGTGTACCACTGAAATTTTTGTACAAATTGTAAAAATGTTTCATTTCCAAGAGGAGGGGGCTAAAGCGGCTAAAACTGTGGTATGAACTCCCCTATTTCTGGTGCTTCTTCCAATTCCTCTGTATGTTCAAAAGAAGCTAATTTTTGAATTCGCGAATATGATCACTATCTTGTTCTACCTGACTACCACTAATCAACCTATATGAGCTTAATTGCTGTAACTACAATTAGCATAGGTGATCTCGTATTGGTGCATAACACGTGAGCACTAATAGATTTGTACGAACGGTTTGCGGAATAGAAATAAACACAGGATTTTACGTGGTATCCCCGAGTGTCGGGACTAGTCCACGGGAGAGCTTAACTCTCCAGAGTCTCTCTTATTTCAGTTGTGTTATGCGGCCAGAGGCCTTACATCATACTTATACCCTTTACATTCAACTAGGGTACGAGAGGAATAAGGAAGATTCCTTTTACAACAAGGAATTGTAATGCTTCCTATCATAATTGAACTGCCACTCTCAAGATGGGCCGTGGCTGAGACTGGATCCCGCTCATGATGCCCCTGCTGACTTCTCATGGGTCGTGGACTTTGGGCCACGTCCATTACTCCCCCGCAAGCTGTGACGTGAAGATCACGAACGCGCAGCTTGGAAAGAAGAAAATGAAATCTCTCTGCACCAAGACCTTTTGTGAACATGTCGGCAAGTTGACAATGCAAACTGATCTTTGACGGGGCAATGTCACCTGACTGAACGCGTTCACGAACAAAGTAACAGTCCATTTCAACGTGCTTTGTTCGTTCATGGAAGACTGGGTTTGCAGCGATGTGAAGAGCGGCTTGATTATCACAGTAGAGTGTCGTGGGGCCTGTCTGCGTGGCACCAAGCTCTCGAAGCAGCCAACGTAACCAGAGGATTTCACTCACTGTGCTGGCCATGGCACGATACTCGGCCTCAGCAGAGGAGCGGGCAACCACCTGTTGCTTCTTTGTACGCCAAGAGATAGGAGCCCCACCAAGGGTAATGACATACCCTGTTGTCGACCTACGAGTGGATTGACAGCCACCCCAATCTGCATCACAATAACCAGTAAGCTCAAGTGAGTTATTGCTAGGGAAGAAAAGACCTTGTCCCGGAGCACCCTTGAGGTAACGTAGTATGCGCTACGCGGCTTCCATATGAGCATGCGTAGGGGCATGAACAAACTGGCTAAGTATATTAACCCCATACGCAATGTCTGGTCGAGTGACTGTGAGGTAGAGAAGTCGACCAACCAAACGTCGATAGGCAGCTGGGTTCGGATGATCGGCTGGGGCTGGACGAGTGAGATGGTGATTTTGCTCTACTGGGAACGCACTGGGACGACTACCCGTTACACCTGCATCATCCAAAATGTCCAATACATACTTACGCTGGCTTAGAACCATACCTTCAGGTGCCCGAGCAACTTCGATGCCCAAGAAATACCGCAGTGGACCCAGATCTTTTATACTGAAACGTCGATGCAGGAATGCCTTGACACGAGAGATAAACTCAAGGCTAGTACCTGCCAGGATGACGTCGTCCACATAAATAAGTGCCACAACGTGGATACTCCCCTGGCGATAGACAAAAAGAGAGTGATCGGCCGGAGAAGGGCGAAATTGAAGTTCACGAAGAGCCGCGGTGAACTTATGGTACCAATTCCGCGATGCCTGTCGTAATCCATACAAAGATTTGTTCAGCCGGCAAACTCGAGTCTCCCCCGGAGCAGCAAAACCCTGTGGGATGCGCATATATACCTCCTCATCCAGGTCACCATGGAGAAAGGCATTGTTGACGTCCAACTGGTGGATGAACCACCCTTTGCTGACTGCCACTGCAAGGAGACAACGAACAGTAACAAGTTTGGCGACGGGAGCAAAAGTGTCATGGAAATCAACACCCTCTATCTGGGTATAGCCTTTGGCGACTAAACGTGCCTTATAGCGCTCAACCGTGCCATCCGGGTGAAATTTTATTTTATACACCCATTTGAAATCGATGACTCGCTTGCCAGGGGGAAGAAAAACTAAGCTCCACGTCCCATTTTCCTCGAGGGCCAAGACTTCAGCCGACATGGCAGCCCGCCAACGAGGGTCCTTGACAGCTTCATAGAAGGATCGAGGCTCGGAATGTTGTGCAACAGCTGCAAGAAAAGCACAATAATTAGCCGAGAATCGATCATAAGTAAGCTGAGCAGATAAGGGATAACGAACGGAATGAGCTTGACTTCCCGTATAGTAAATGTCAAGATGCTTCGGTGGCACCCTGGTACGATCACCTCGTCGGAGCGGGGCAGGCTCCGGATCGGGAGAAGGTGTCGTATGTACGTCGGGAGAAGCCTCTCCCAAGTGCAAGTCTGTCGCTGAGTTCGGCTTCATGGGGGACGCACTCGTCACAGTGCGAGACCTGTCCGGCGTCGCGAGCAGCGCCGAGGAATCCAGGTCGGGTGTGCTGGTATGGCCGGGATCGGCAAAGACAGTGGGCCGGGACGGCCCAAGAGGCCTAGAAGGCAGATCCGGGCGAGTGGGGGAAGACACCGCTACTGATCCAGGTAGTGGCCCAGCCGAGGGAGGAGCAGGCAGACGCGTATGTTGGCGTCCAGCTTCGAGGAGTTCGTCATCACTGTCTGCAGTATAATGTTCAAAAACGGAGCCAGGAACCCAGGGGAACTGATCGGAGCATCCCTCCTGAAATGGGAAAACTGACTCATGAAAAACTACGTCTCGACTAGTGATGATTTTCTGTGTAGACAAATCGTAAGCCCGGTATCCTTTCTGGCTAGCTGCATAGCCCATGAAGACACACGCACGACCACGTTCTGCAAATTTTCCCAAATTCGCATGCGTATCCTTACAATATACCAAACAACCGAATACGCGAAGATGATTGTATGCAGCTGATTTTCCAAACACAATTTCATAGGGTGTGCGGCCTGTGGCTTTGGTAGGTAGTCTGTTAATTAAGTATGCCGCCGTAAGCACACATTCTCCCCAAAACCGAATCGGCAAAGAAGCTTGGAAACGGAGTGCCCTTGCTGTCTCAAGTATATGTCGATGCTTGCGTTCTACAACGCCATTTTGTTGAGGCGTGTCAGTACACGAAGTCTGCAAAGATATGCCTGCGTTCTCATAGAACTCGCACAATACTTTGGTCGCAAATTCCGGACCATTGTCAGCTTGAATCTTCTTCACCTGCTTACCAAACTGAGTGCGAACAAGGTTGCAGAATAATTGTATGTAACGACCAACCTCCGACTTAAAACGGAGTAGATATATCCATACATCTCTGCTAAAATCATCGACTATAGTCAAGAAATAATGAGCACCACTGTACGACGGAGTGTGATAACCTCCCCAGATATCCATATGTAACATCTCAAAACAAGAAGTAGTGCGAATTCCGCTAACGGGAAAAGGAGTTCTGGTTTGTTTAGCCCTTGAACACGAATGACATAATTCTACTGCCGACTCGACTGAAAAGGAAAGACTCGAACTCAATTTTTCCAATGCTCCTGCCGAAGGGTGACCCAACCGTGCATGCCAAAGTGCTTCCTTCCCTTTAACCACAGCATTGGCACGCGCCTGACAGCCAAAGAGCTTTAGAAAGTGCAACCCATCACGAATCTCCCCCTTCCCAATCACGTTCTTGGAGTGTAAGTCCTGTATAATGCAGAAATCACCAAGAAAAATCAATGCCACATGATGTTCTTGACAGAGCCGACTAACAGAGAGTAAATTACAGCTGAACTCCAGAACATGTAGAACCCGACTGAGAACTCTGTCAGTACTGAGTCGAACTGACCCTATACGTTTCACGGGAACGCTAGCTCCGTTGGGTATTCTCACTGGCTGACATGTCACACTATCATTGTGTGCAAATAACAGAGAATCATCCATGACTATGTGCTCATTGCAGCCTGAATCAATAAGCCATTCGGGTTCATTAGAAAAGGAGTACGTACCCGCCATGTGACTAGAAGGGTCGGCAGCTCCTTGAGCTAGGCTGCCAAAGAACTGCTTCAATTGACTTAATTGTTGAGGTGTAAAACCAGAGGTAGCACTTGCTTCAGATTCAGCTTGCGAAGCCCGCGGCTCACGACTTTGACCTCGACCTTTCCCTTGATCTCGGGTGTCAAGATTGCGGCGGCGATCAGGCTTCTCTCCCGATTTGTCTCTAGAGGGCCACCCAATAAGCTCATAGCAGCTTTCTTTAAGATGGCCAGACTTGCCGCAATGAGTGCATGTTACTCGTTCCCTATCACCCGACGCTCGCCCCCGTGAGTTGCGCGTTTCAGCGCCTGTTTTCCCAGAATCTTCTTGGGCTGCAAAGGCAGCCGCCTCTGGAATGGGCTTCCGATTTTGAGTGATAGACCTTTGCTGTTCATCATTAAACACAATGCGGAAGGCTTCAGGTAGTGAAGGGGTGACCGCCATAGACAAGATTTGGCTACGTATAGTAGCATAAGACTCATCCAAACCGAGTAGGAAGTCTAGTAACCGCAGGCTTTCATTCTGATCCCGACTCCTTCGGCCGCACGCACACACTGGCGGCGGAAGAATAGACTGCGTTTCTTCCCAGTTCTTGCGCAACTTAGTATAGAAACTTGAAACCGATTGTTTTTCTTGCTGCAACAAGCAAATATTACGACGTAGCTCATAGGCTCGCGTTAAATTGCCTTTGCTAAAACGATCACGCAAGTCCTCCCAGATTTCCTGAGACGTCTTAGCATGCATCACACTGCTGCGTAATTCCGCATCCATGGCGGTTCGCAGCCAGCCCTTGACGAGTGCGTCACATCGCATCCAGGCCAGTGACTGCGCTGATCCTTCGTCTGGTCGGGGAATGGAGCCATCGACGAAACCAATCTTATTCTTTGTGACTAGGGCATCCGTCATCTCCAGGGCCCATTCACCGTAATTCGACGATGTTAACAAGCTGCTTACATGGAGATGTCCCGTGCTATCACTTTGATGTATGAAAAGAGGGTTCATGATGTCGATACCTTGGCCACCATCACCACTGCCGCCAGAAAGCTTGGATTCAGGCGTGCCCAAGAAGGCTGAATCCGTCCCAGACATGGTGAGTAATCAAAAGTTGGATCAAAGCTCTGATACCATAATAGATTTGTACGAACGGTTTGCGGAATAGAAATAAACACCGGATTTTACGTGGTATCCCCGTGTGTCGGGACTAGTCCACGGGAGAGCTTAACTCTCCGGAGTCTCTCTTATTTCAGTTGTGTTATGCGGCCAGAGGCCTTACATCATACTTATACCCTTTACATTCAACTAGGGTACGAGAGGAATAAGGAAGATTCCTTTTACAACAAGGAATTGTAATGCTTCCTATCATAATTGAACTGCCACTCTCAACATGGGCCGTGGCTGAGACTGGATCCCGCTCATGATGCCGCTGCTGACTTCTCATGGGTCGTGGACTTTGGGCCACGTCCATTAAGCACCTTTTCTAATCATACTCATGTAATGCACAATAATTAGCCCCACAAATTTCTTGTTTGGTTAATATACTAAATATAATTAAAGGTACAACTTCTTTGCAACATAATTAAGGGTTAATACCTTATTTTGGCCCGAACTATAACCATATAATCAACTTTGGTCCGAGGTTTCAGAAATTAACATCATGGCCTCAACTATGCATCATATAGACTCAATTGGCCCGACACATAGTTTGACCGTCAATTTGGACTGTCGACTCCGTTGACCGTCAGTCAACATGCCATGTCATTGCCTAGTCAGCATACAAATCATTAAAAAAATTAAATTCAAATTATTTTCCTAATTTCTATTATTTATCATTTTCCAATTAACCAAAAAATAAAATTCTAAAAATATAAAATAATTTTTTTGGGATATTTGAAAATGATAAATTTTATAAATTAACCAAAATTATCAAAGTAAATTTTATAAAGTTAAAACTTGTTATATAAATTATATTTTTAGGAAGTTTAAAAATATAAAATAATTTGATAATTTTTGGTTAATTTATAAAATTTATCATTTTCAAATTATCCAAAAAAAATTTTATTTTATGTTTTTTTTATTTTTGGTTAATTTGATAATAAATAATTTTTTTAATAATTTTTAGGCTGACTAGGCAATGACATGGCGTGTTGACTAACGGTCAACAGAGTTGACCGTCCAAATTAACGATCAAACTATGTGTCGGGCCAATTGAGTCTATATGCTGCATAGTTGAGGCCAAGATGTTAATTTCTGAAACCACGGGCCAAAGTTGATTATATGGTCATAGTTCGGGCAAAAATAAGGTATTAACCCCATAATTAAAGGTACAACTTCTTTACTGTTGCACAAGAGTTCCTCTAACCTACACTACTGTCATCTAACTTTGCTCACCTGCAAAACATTTTGTCAACACATGGCTATTGTAGTGTAAACAGTAAAGGACAGAGTATTATTTCTTTTTTTTGTTTTGGCTAATTCATACATTTTGTCAACACATGGCTATGTTTTAGAGTTTTATTAAATTAACCTAAGTTCAAAAGTTAGTATTAGAGTAATTTATACTAAAATTATAGTTAAATCATTATTAAAATCAGGCTTGACACATTGTTTCAACCCGAGTCTCGATTTATGTTTAGAAAAAAAAACAAAAATTGTAAAACCACAATGAAGGTCGTACCGGTAAAGTTAACATTAAGGTATTTTGTGCTAAAATCGTGATTAAATCAGGTTTGACACGTTGCTCCAACCCGAGCCTCAAAGCATGTTCATAAAAATAAAAAATTGCAAAATCATACCGAAGGTCGTACTAGAAAAATTAGCATTAGGTCATTTCATAAAGCTAAAATCACCTATCGATTTAGATTCCGTTAGAAGTTTTTCTATTGGACCACCATTACGGTACAATCGTATTTCAACCGTGGTTAAATCAGGCTGGACACATTGCTCCAACCCGATTCTCAATTTATGCTTAGAAAATACCTAAATTGGTACAACCATACCAAATGTCAAACACAAAAAGTTAGCATTAGGGTATTTTGTGCTAAAATCATAATTCTACAGTGGTTTAATCAACCTTGACACATTGCTCCAACCCGAGCATCAATTTATGTTCAGAAAAAAACTAAAAATTGTAAAACCATTCCTAAGGTAATACAAAAATTAGTATTAGATTACTTTGTGCTAAAATTGTAGTTCAACCTTGGTTAAAATCAGGCTTGACAATTGCTCCAACCCGAACCTAGATGTACATAGAAAATCCAAAATTGTAAAACCACACCGAAGGTCGTACACGTAGAGTTAGCAATATGATATTTTGTGCTAAAATCATAGTTCAGTCGTAGTTAAACCAGGCTTGAAACGTTGCTCCAACCCGAGCCTTTATGTATATTCAGATATCGAAGGTCGTACAAAAAAAGTTAGAATGAGGACATTTTATGCTAAATCGTAGTTCTATCGTGCTTAAATCATTACATACAGCTAAAATCACCTATCACGTTAAATTCTGTTAGGAATTTCTATTATACTGCTGCTAAATACGGTCATAAATCAAATACGGGTTTAAACAATTCTTCTAATTCTATCAAAAGCCGCAGCGAAGTGCGGCCATAATCTACCTAGTATAAATAATACCACAAGCTCCTTTGTGTTAAAGAGAATATAAAAAAAAAATTAAAATAAACAGCAGGGATGGCAAAAATATCCGTAAACGTGGATATCCGCCTCAATCCGGCCTAATCGGCTAGGGTAAAACGCGAGCTAGAAAGACTTTTAGTGGATATGGATAAAATTCGAACCAAAATTTTGTGGATAATGGGTGGGCATGGTTTTCTCACTATCTAACCCGAACCTGCCCGATTATACACATGCATATGTATTTTGTCTAGAAATAATCAATATTTTTCTCTAGTATATTTAGCATATAAATATAATATTTTCATGAATTTGTGTTTTTTTAATTATTTTTCTTCATTCTAGTGAATTATTCTTGTACTTTTCCTCTTACATAATGTGAATATACATGTAAATGTTAGCATATTAGTTGGACTTATAAAGAAAAATAATTATCCATGGATAACCGTAGATACTCGAAACCCAACCGGATATGAGCATGGTTTTGATTTTCTACCAATTTCTTGTGTAAGTATGGGTATGAATAAAAACCGAACAACATTTGAGTAGCATAACGGATACACTACCTGACCCGACCCGACCAATTGACATCCCTAGCAACAATTTATCAAAAAATAAAATTAATGAAAAACAATTTTTTCGCGGCAACCATCAAATCACGATCCTTCGTAGGGGTGTTCAAACGGTGTGGTTACCGTGGTAACCGTTTTTACCGGTAGTGTTTGGATAATTTGGTTTGGTTAATTTGGATAATTGGTTTAGTTTGGTTAAATTTTTAGCTTGTATGGTTTAGGTGGTTTGGTTTGGTTTCATACACTCCTAACCAATCAAACCAAATTAACCAGTTAAGTAATTAGCCATATATATAATATATTATACACACATACTTAATACTTTGCATAACCACTTAAGAATCAAATGCAATATAATTGTATTAGTTACATGTATTTACGTTAAGGGTTAACTATAATTATTTGTTTATTTTTATGTGTTATTCATTCATTATATAAATTGCAAATTGATGCACTAACCGGAAAATTTTATCACTTAATGATAATGTGGTGGTATATTGGTTATTTTGGTTAACCAATTAACCAAACCGATTAAGTTTGGACAGTTTGGTTATGATATTGTATTCCATGGTTAATAGATTTTATGCTAATTTGGTTTGGTAATTACCATTATAACCATTTGAACACCCCCACATCCTTCGCTCTCGCGGTTTTGACTCCGTCTATAACCGATATTCCGATTCCGTCGCGAGCATCGACGGCATCCAGCTCCTTCTAGTTTTTTTTTTATCCAAGATAAGCCCCCAGGGCATGGCCGGTCAACACAATTACAAGAAAGACACCAAAAAAGAACGGTAGTCCGTATGCAACCGGACTCCCGATAAAAGAGCCTATTTTGCCACGAGGTGGACAGCTCTGTTGAAGCTTCGAGGAGCAAAAAGACACGAGACTGAAGGGAAGGAGGGAAAGAGAGAGTGCACTTTCTCTAGAATAGCTCCCGCTCTTGAATGCGAAACCTTCTTTGAAGTCACATCCTTGATGACCAATTGAGAGTCCCCACAAAAAGCAACAGTCAAGAAGTTGTGGGTGAGACACCATTTCATAGCATCACGAATAGCAAGTAATTCTGATATATAGGCATCTGTGATGCCCTGATAGAATTTACCAACAGCAAATGTGATTATTCCATCACCTGAAAAGCCGACGAAGCCAGTTGAACATCCTTGAGGGTTTTTTGTTGCTCCGTCAAAACGAACTAGGATACCTTCACTAGGGAAGGAAACATTTGTTCTTCTTGAAAGAGGACCTTGGCCTGTGGAAGAGTGGGGTATTGACCTTCGGGCTTCTTCGGATCTCTGAACCTTCTGTGCCTCTGCCGTTCTCCATTCCTCCACCTGCAATAATAGTTGCCTGTATAGAACATGTGACTTGTATAAAACGTGTCCATGAGTAGCCTTGCATCGGCCTTTCCATATTCTCCAGAATAAGAAGACAATGAAAGCTACATCATTCTTGGAGATATGGGGCGTGAAAAAGAGGTTTCTCCACGCAAGATCCATAGGACTTGCCCTTATCATATCTCTTATATGGTCAAGGTCAGATAATGTCCATAGTTCTCTAGTGATTCTACAGTCAAAAAAGCAGTGCTTGAAGTCTTCATTTACCTCACAGCAAACGGGACAAATAGTAGATGAGGTAATTTTCTTGTAACGGAGGGTTCCTTTAACTGGTAAAAATCCACGCACCAATCTCCAAAGAAAGAATTTGAGTTTAGGAGGTATTGGAATATTCCACATGAATTTCCAAAACTTGGTGTTCAAAAATTCTGGAAGGGTGTTCCTGGGTGAAGTTAAACTAGTTGAAAGAAGGTGGTACCCCGATTTAACTGTATAGTGACCAGACTTGTCATAGTGCCAAATCAATTTATCTTCTTGTGGGGAAGATGGGAGAGGGATGGATAATATTTTTTCGATCGTGACAGGATGAAATAAGGTTTTAAGCAAGTCTAGTTTCCACTCCATAGCATTTGAATCCAGAAGAAATGAGACCATAGGATGATCTAGTGAGGCGCCAATTAACAACACAGGGCTAGATGGAGGGTCTGTTGGTAGCCAAAGGTCGAGTAAGATGTTTATCCTAGATCCTGATCCTACTTGCCAACGAAGACCTTTACTCAACAGATCTCTACCCTACAAAATACCTTGCCAAGCCCAAGAGGGGCGAGCCCCCTGACGGGCTAGGAGGAAATGATCGGTGAAATGGTATCTTGCCTTATACATTCTGGCAAGAATACTCTCCGGTTCGCAGATAAGTCTACAAGCTTGCTTGGCTAGCATTGCTACATTGAACCTATCAAAGTCTCTAAAACCCAATCCTCCTTCAAATTTGCTGAAACAACATTCAGACCATGATAACCAATGTATACCTTTTTCTTTGTCTTGGCCTGCCCACCAAAAAGTAGAGAGTTGCCCGTTCATCCTTCTACACAAGTCAGAAGTGAGTCTAAAGCAGGACATCGCAAAGATAGGAGTTGCTGTCCCAACTGCTTTAATGACTACTTCCTTGGCAGCCAAAGACATGTTTTTTGATTTCCAATTGCGAATTCTGGTTGCTAAAGATTCCTCAATATACCGAAAAGTTTGGATTTTAGATCTATGAACCTGAGATGGAAGTCCAAGGTATCTATCATGAACTCCAATTGTTGACACACCAAGTATACCAGCTAGGCGAGTAGCTTCCGAGTCTAAGACATTTGCACTAAATGTAACAGCTGATTTCTGGAGATTAACTCGTTGCCCACTCACCACTTCATATTCATGAAGTATTTCAATTAGACGGGCACACTCAGTAGAGGAGGCACGGAGGAATAGGTAGGAATCATCCGCAAAGAATAAGTGGGAGATCAGTGGAGCTTGTATGTGAATACGTAACCCGTGAAGGCTAGAGTTTCTAATAGAATTCTCTATAAGGGATGAGAAAGCTTATGTGTATAGAGCGAATAAGAGGGGGGAGAGAGGGTCCCCTTGGCGTAAGCCTCTTTGAGGATGAAAGTAACCATGGATAGACCCGTTTAGGACAATAGAGAATGATACAGTTGTCACACATGACCTTAGCCATTTGAGCCATTTATCTCCAAATCCTAGGCCTTTAAGTAACTCAAACAAGAGAGGCCATTCAACTTTGTCATAAGCCTTTTCCATGTCTAGCTTTAAAGCCATCCATTTTTCCTTGCCTTGTTTTAGTTTTGAGAAATTGCATCACCTCTTGTCCGATTAAGATATTGTCTGTGATAGATCTATCTTTCACAAAGCCGTTTTGGTTAGGGCTCACAATGAGAGGAAGGAAACAACTCAGCCTATCTGCTACAATTTTAGGAAAGATCTTGTAGAATACTTGGCAGAGTCCTATAGGTCTCATTTGTTTCATGGTTTCGGCATTTGGAGTCTTGGGTATAAGCGTGATCAGCGTATGATTAAAGTTATGCAACAATCTTCCCGTATGAAAGAAGGAGATGGCGGCATCACATAGGGATTCCCCAACCACATCCCAAAAGGCTTGAAAGAAGATACCAGTAAACCCATCTATCCCTGGGGATTGATAAGAGCCGATCGAGAAAGTAGCATCTTTTACCTCTTTTCTTGTAACTGTTGCAGAAAGGCAAGTATTAATATAATCAAGGTTCTAAAAGGCGCTAGGCGTAAGGCAGGCGCTCGACTCTTGACTTGCGCCTTGCCCGATTATGCGTAGCCTAGGCACGCCTAGGCGTTTAGAGCATAAATGGAAAAATTCTCAAATATTTCCTATTTTCTGGAGTAATTCATATAATCCAAGTGCATATAAAATTAGCAATGCCTAGTTCTTAACAGTAAACACTTAACATAACAAATAACAAGCAAATAGTGACCAATCATCTGCTAATAGGTGCTTATAAAGGCAAGAAGCTTGTGCTACGTACCGAGGAGAAGGAAGGAGCAACAATTGACGAGTTTCGACTTTATTTCCTGCTATAGCAGCGGAGCGGTGTGAAGCCGAGAAGAGTGATCGATGACTTTCTCCGGCGGCGGCAGAGAGCAGCAAATGGGGCGAGAGCTAGGGAGTCAGGCGGTAGCAGATGGGGCGAGAGCTAAGGCGGCAAGCGGTAGCAGATGTTACTTCCCGTGTTTCTGATTTTCTAGGGCAAGAGGCAAGTTTCTGATTTTCTAGGACAAAACGAAGAGTATTGGGTTTAACCGCCTAAGCTCGCCTAGGCACGCCTTCTCTCCACTAGGCGCAAAGTAAGCGCTATTCCTACCTACTAAGCGCTACCAGCGCCTTTTACAACGCCCATGGCCAAGTCAAGGCGATCCTCCACCGCCTAGCGCCTAATTGAGCCTAGGCGTGCGCCTAGGCGCGCCTTCTTGAACCCTGAATATAATCATTCACTTTCTTCTGGAGACCCAAGCTCAATATGAAATCTTGGACTAAAGGTTGATTAGATAGGAAGAGTCCCATAAAGTATGTAACTGCCACATTGGCTTTAGCTCCTTCCTCTAAATGAACTAAGCCATTATCATCCTTGAGGTAAAGAATTGTGCGCATCCTTCTCTTCTGATTTGTAATGGTATGAAAGAAATGAGTATTAGACTCCCCTTCCTGGAGGTACTTAACTCTAGATTTTTGTTTCCAATAATCTCTTCTTGTAGATAAGAAGATGATAACGCTTTTTCAAGCCCCTTAATCACCTCCCAGTCAACAGATGGGGCATTTCTGGCTGTATCAATTCCTAGACGAAGTTCTTTTATTTTCCTAGCCGAGTTAGAAGTACCCTTTTTCATCCATTCAACAAGATCATGCCTCGAAGACTTGAGGTCATTGAAAAATTTGAATTGCCTTGTACCAGAGGTTTGACTACCCCATTTGTCAGCAAAAGCTTGTCTTGCTTTCGAGTTTTTTGCCCAGCGGCTATCGAAGTGGAAGCGATGCTGACCCAAATTATGAGGCGGGATGAGTTGCAACACAATCTTTCGGTGATCCGAACCTAGATCTGATAGGTGAGTTACCTTGGCGAGAGGCCAAAGGTTTAAAGCCAAAGAGGCGACTAAAACTCTGTCCAGTCTAGCCATAATATGATCCGAAGCCGATCTGCGATTTGTCCAGGTGAAGTTAGGGCCACTAAAACCTAGGTCTTGCAGACCTGAATGTAGGCAAAAATTTCTTAATTGATCCAAGGCGGAAAGGGCAGGGCATCTGCCTCCTGATTTTTCAGAGCTGTCAAGGATACAATTAAAGTCCCCGAAAACAAATAATGGGAGAAGTATAGATCGAATAATGGCAGATAATTCATTGAGTTGATTTTGCCTAGTCCCTACATCACAACTAAGATGAACAAATAAGAAATGAGCTCTTCCGAGTCTTGGATGTTGGCATTCTAAGGAAATGTAGAAGTGACGTTTGTCTCGAATAATACAATCTACATCCGTTGACCAACCCACGGCTAAACCACCAGATAGGCCAATAGCACTGACGAGACGATTTTCTTTAAAGCCAAGGTTTTTAATTTTGTCTCTGACCAAGTCATCCTCATTTTTTTTGTTTCACTTAGAAACAATAAGTATATTGAGTAGCGGCTTACCGTTTCAGCGAGCTGCCGATTGGTTGTTATAGGGCCAATTCCTTGACAGTTCCAGAAAAGAATACCCATGATCGCTACCAATAACTTGCCAAGAGAAGTTATTGACTTAAGAATACTCAAAATAGAACGTAAAGATGTTTATATCAATGAGACAACTCAAAAGGAAGATATGCCTTTCATTGATTCAAAATGATAATTCTATTTTTCACAAATGAATTTGTGATAAAAGTACCCCACGGGAAGTACTACAGAGATGATAAGCATCTAGTGATTTGATCAAATAGGTGATAACAGGTAAGCAGAATGAGTGACTTATTCCGGCCAGCATCGACGTTGATCGAAATACCTAACCACGAACAGAAGACGAATACGGCAGGTGTACTAAGCGTGATTGTAGCCAAAGTGTGAGTCTCAATCCACCAAATACAATCTAGCCTGAAAACGAGTTTGACCTGTTAAAATAGCACAAGGAAGAACGGTAAAAAGCATCAGAAGGCGAGAGTACTCTAGAATGAAGATCAATAGGGATAACTAAAGGGCAGGAAGTAAAATGGAAAGATAACAGAATGAGCGAGGGATTGGAGCAAAACAAACTACTTGGACAAGGAATTCTCAGTGCCCGAGTGCAAGCAGGGGTTGAGCAGGTAGCACCAAGAAATTTAGAACTTGGTCTAAAGATCCTACTAGAAACAATCTGCAAAGTTGTTATAAAATATGCGGCTAAATTGCAAGTTTGGTCACTGGAATTACTTATAAAATTCACGTTTGCCACTAAAATTAATTTATTCCATCCGTAGTCACTTAAATTAGGTTAACAGTTCAAGTTTGGTCACTGACCGTTAGTCTCCGTTAACTTTTGCTTATGTGGCGGTCAACTCTTATAGTTGACCGTTAAATGAGTGACGTGGCAATTAAAATAATAATAAAAAATAAAATTTAATTATTTTTTATTTTCCACCTAATTACAATCCACTAATCAGAACCCAGAAATCAAACTAACAAAATCGAAGATCAAAACCTGAAAATACATAATTTCCATCGACATGACGAGTTGCTGATTGACGATGCCAACAACCGATGCCACTCTCTTCGGCGTCTCACTTCCCTCCACCGCCAGATTACCCGACCTGCTTCTCCGGGTCCGGCCTTCTCTCGGTCTCTCGTCTATGGTGTCCTTCAGGATGAGGGCCACCATGAAGGAAACCGCCTCCTCCGGCGCGTACACGGCACCCGCGGCGGAGATGGGCTTCTACGATCTGCTTGGGATACCGGAGTCGGTGAGCTTGAGAGATATTAAGTTGGCTTACAAGCAGCTGCCCAGGAAGTACCACCCGGACGTCTCGCCGCCGGATCAGGTCAAGGAGTACACCCAGAGGTTCATTCGGGTCCAGGAGGCCTACGAGACGACGTGGATCCCAGACAGAGGGCGCTCTACGATCGGGACATGGCCAGAGGGCTTCACCTTGCCTTCTCCGCCAGGAGACGGTCCTCATACCATGACGACGAGGTAATTTCATCTGCAAAAGCTTCTTCCGTTTTTGTTCTTTCTCCTCCCCTGATTTTCAAATCTCTGGAATTGGGGATATTTTGGGATGAAGGAGAATTGGGCTTACAATTTCAAATATGTTCAGTCTCTTGAAGGAGAGTTTTGCATAAATCCGATTTGGGCTCTGTTTTTCTTTGGATTGCTCTGGTTTTTTTTACTCTGTTTTTGTGTACATGGAAAACAGGGGCGACGCTTGGGAAGGATTGAACAGGCTGGTGAAAACGATATCATTACTTGGAAAAAATAAATCCACTTGCAATAGAAATGGTTTTCATGTCGCATTCCGCTCTTATTATTATAAGCTCTAAATTACATAATAATACACATTAATTACAACTCCACCACCAAGCGGGAAATTGTCGCGCCGGCCCAAATGACGCCGCCGGTACTCCCTTTCCGTACGGTTATTAACTTAAACGACGCAAGCAGCAACAACATGGAGCAGCAGTACACGTCGGTGGACAAGACGGTGATGGCGCGGGGCTTGGCCGGCCGAGAGAGGTCGTCGACCGGAGGGGAGAGGAATGGTGAGTGGAAAATAATAATTAAAGAGGAATTATGATTTTGTTATTTTTATAATAATTAGGTGGAAAATAAAATAATTAAATTATTTTATTTTATTAATTTTTTAATTGCCACGTCACTAATTTAACGGTCAACTATAAGAGTTGACCGCCACATCAGCAAAAGTTAACGGAGACTAACGGCCAGTGACCAAACTTGAACTATTAACTTAATTTAAGTGACTACCGATGAAATAAATTAATTTTAGTGGCAAACGTGAATTTTTTAAGTAATTCCAGTGACCAAACTTGCAATTTAACCTAAAATATGCGCAGATCGACTACAAGGGAAAGAAAATCATACAGTGATAGGGGATGATTCCACAAATAAAATTAAGGTAAGTGAGGAAAGGAAAGTTACAAGGGTATCCACAAAGAAATATACACAAGGATCTCTGGGTGATGCACCAAAATTTTGAACGGTAGATATTGGGGGCGGCGGGGGCGGCGGCAATGACATTATCGCTATCCAACTAACGCCGTGAATGCCCGCGGGACCGAGGGAGAATGACACAAATATTGTGTTTTTTATTAAATTTACCACCAATATGGCGGATTAAAAAGTATTGACAAATATATTGTGTTTTGGAGAAAAAGTTAGGCGAGGCCACCTGAGACTGAGGCGTCACCACCTGAGACTCAGGTGAATAGGTGGGAAGAAAGTCCCAGGTGTTGGCGCCTGAGACTGAGGTGGTACCGCCTGAGACTGAGGTGGTACCACCTAAGACTGAGGTGGCACCGCGAAGAACAATCATAATTCTAACCCTGAAACCCTAAACCCTAAACCCTGAACCCTAAACCAGGGAATTTCGTATCAGTTATTCACACCACAAAATGGCTAATAGGTAAGAGACATATTTATTTTTTTAATTATATTATTCAAATGCTATTATGATTGTGTTTAGTTTAATTAGTGAGTTTTTCTCTAGTGATTTTAGAAGATTTGAACTAGTCGTTCGGTGGAAATCGGAGAAAGTAGAGGATAATTTGGGCGTCAAATTCGTTGGTGGTGGTAGTTTTCAGTTGACGGTTTTTCAAATGTAATAGTTGTGGTTTGAAGTAGTTGTTGTTTTTCAAATAGTTGTTATGGTTTAAGAAGGTTGTTGTTTTTCAAATGTAGTAGTTGTTGTTCTTGGCCAAATTATAAAATGTCCGAGTTGTTGTTTGTTATTTGTTGTTCCGAATAGTTATCGCTAATAACATCATACATGAATGTAAAAATAGTTCAAGGAATAGTCCACAAACATAAATAGTCCACATAATAGTCCACATACATATCCCAAATAATAATAACATAACAAAAATACAAAACAAAAACTCTAACGATCACCACCACGACGACCACCATGCTGATCCACTAGATGGTCGTCGGTACCACACCCACTGGCACCCTGATCCGTTTAGGCCTACCATCATCATGCTGGGGCTGATCATCCTCGACATGGATCGGCATGGTGGTCGTCGTTAGAGTTTTTTTGGATTTTTGTTATGTTATTATTATTTGGGATATGTATGTGGACTATTTATGTGTTATGTGGACTATTATGTGGACTATTCCTTGAACTATTTTTACATTCATGTATGATGTTATTAGCGATAACTATTCGGAACAACAAATAACCAACAACAACTCGGACATTTTATAATTTGGCCAAGAACAACAACTACTACATTTGAAAAACAACAACCTTCTTAAACCATAACAACTATTTGAAAAACAACAACTACTTCAAACCACAACTATTACATTTGAAAAACCGTCAACTGAAAACTACCACCACCAACGAATTTGACGCCCAAATTATCCTCTACTTTCTCCGATTTCCACCGAACGACTAGTTCAAATCTTCTAAAATCACTACATAAAAACTCACTAATTAAACTAAACACAATCATAATAGCATTTGAATAATATAATTAAAAAAATAAATATGTCTCTTACCTATTAGCCATTTGTGGTGTGAATAACTGATACGAAATTCGCTGGTTTAGGGTTTCAGGGTTAGAATTAGGATTGTTCTTCGCGGTGCCACCTCAGTCTCAGGTGGTGCCACCTCAGTCTCAGGCGCCAACACCGGGGACTTTCTTTCCACCTATTCACCTGTCAATACTTTTTAATCCGCCATATTGGTGGTAAATTTAATAAAAAACACAATATTTGTGTTATTCTCCCCGGACCGAACAAATTAAATTTCCCGAGAAAAAATAAAACAAACAAAAGCGGAAAAGCCATAATAGCCATCAACGGCGTTGGTTGGCTCCTCGTAATCATCGGGAGAGGAATCCAACTTCGAGACGGGAGCGGAGAACAAACGTCTCACCTTCCTATTGGTTGGAGATAACCGAGTCGGCCAATTCCCCTGCTATAAATTGAACCCTTAACTTCCCCTTTCTTCACCACAATTCAATCTCAAACAACCTATCCTCCTAATCAAATTTCTGATTCAGAGCTTTCCTCTCAGTCTCTCAAGGTAAAGGATCTTGAATCTCTCTCTTTTCTGTTCTTTATGTTTCTCTTGGAATTCTGGTTTCTCGTATATTAGGTGAAAAAAGCCTTCGATCGGGAAGCATTCTGGATATTGGAATTAGGGTTTCTTCGTGCTGTTTGTTTGATCGTATATCGTATTCAATCAGATTATCGGACAAAATTATGGATTTCTGAGTTACGTATTTTCGTTCTGTTTATTTGATCGTATGTTGAACTTACTCGTGCTGTCAATTATGCTTTGCTTGATCGTTTATCCGATAATTCTTTGATTCTGGTAATTTTGTTGGCGTACTGCTGAGTTAGGTTGGTTCTCTTTGTCTGATCGTATTCAATCAGATAATCGGGGTGAAAATATGGATTTTTGAGTTACGATTCTTCATTCTGTTTATTTGATCGTACATTGAATTTACTCTTGCTGCCAATTACCCTTTTGTTGATCTTTGATAAGATAGTTCTTCAATTCTGGTAATTTTGTTAGCGGATTGCTGAATTAGGGTTCTCCGAGTTTACAGATGCAGATCTTTGTTAAGACACTCACCGGGAAGACTATCACTCTCGAGGTCGAGAGCAGCGACACCATCGACAACGTTAAGGCGAAGATTCAGGATAAGGAGGGGATCCCTCCGGACCAGCAGAGGCTGATCTTTGCCGGCAAGCAGCTGGAAGACGGGAGGACCTTGGCTGATTACAACATCCAGAAGGAGTCGACCCTTCACCTGGTTCTCCGTCTGCGTGGAGGCATGCAGATCTTCGTCAAGACCTTGACCGGAAAGACCATTACTTTGGAGGTGGAGAGCTCCGACACCATTGACAACGTCAAGGCGAAGATCCAGGACAAGGAGGGAATCCCTCCTGATCAGCAAAGGCTCATCTTCGCTGGTAAGCAGCTCGAGGATGGCAGAACCCTCGCTGACTACAACATCCAGAAGGAGTCGACTCTCCATCTCGTTCTGAGGCTGAGGGGAGGCATGCAAATCTTTGTGAAAACTCTGACTGGGAAGACCATCACTTTGGAGGTTGAGAGCTCTGACACCATTGACAATGTCAAGGCTAAGATTCAGGACAAGGAGGGCATCCCACCAGACCAGCAGAGGCTAATCTTTGCAGGAAAGCAGCTCGAGGATGGGCGAACTCTGGCCGATTATAACATTCAGAAGGAGTCAACTCTCCATCTGGTGCTGCGGCTTAGGGGAGGAATGCAAATCTTCGTCAAGACTCTTACTGGAAAGACCATCACGTTGGAGGTGGAGAGCAGTGACACCATTGATAATGTGAAGGCCAAAATTCAGGATAAAGAGGGTATCCCGCCAGACCAGCAGAGGCTGATCTTCGCTGGCAAGCAGCTTGAAGATGGAAGGACTTTGGCGGACTATAACATTCAGAAGGAGTCCACCCTCCACCTTGTCCTGCGTCTGCGTGGTGGCTTCTAAAGTGGCGTTGTTTGTTCGGTGTTACTGTGGATGTTGTCTGAAGGTTGTTGGATTTATTGTCGGATATTTGAAGTATGTTTTTTAAGTTTCTTGTGTTCGTGAGGTAGCCTGGTTGCTTGTGAAGTTTCAAGCCTAGTTTCTTTCAGTTTTATTTGGCCCTGATGGCCTTGTGAACGTTTGTCTTTTGTTGTTTCTGTTGAATAATAATGCCAGAAGGATTTCGTGTGTATATGGTTAATCTCTCCACTTAGATCCTCGTGTTGCACAATTTCTACATTGCTCTCACTAGTCCTCTAGATCGTTCGTTTGAGCTGCTTGTTTGCCATTGTAGTAGTTTTCATCTCTGCTAATGTAAATCTTCAGCTTTTGGTTTATAGACCACAGCTGCGGCCTCGAAAACTAGCATGTTATTGTCATCAAGAAAGCTATATATACACGACGCAAAAACCCCATCAGAAAGAAGATTACACATTACACACGGAAGTAAAAACTCAATACACACAACTACATCTTGACTAGAAAACTTCCTTCTATGGAACAACATCCTCATTCAGGCTGGCAGCAGCAACCATGGAAGCAGCTACTCCAGCCGGATTCGTCGACAGCGTCGGGTTGTTCCTCATCTCCGCACTCATCACTCCTTCCGCGTCCTCCCTCGTCACCACTTTATCCGCCGGCAACTTCCCCGCTGCATCCTGAAAATTCCCCAATTTCCCCTGAATTAGTTCCAACAAGTCCCCATCTTTCCATACCATATATAAAAAAAACCCAATTACAACTTAAAATCAGAACCCCTAATTATACCCAGAGCACATCATTGAGCTTGATTTTCTCCTCGTCCCTGTCCGTCGCAGCATTATGCGTCGCCGCCGACTGTGCCGTCGCAGCAAGCCCGCCGGGAACCGTAACACTACTCCCTGTCGCTCTCGTCTCCGCCGCCTGAATCGCGGCAGCATCGCTCTGATCCACCGGCCTATCTCCAGAAGTCCTCCCGGTCGCCTCCAGCGCTTCCCCAATTGTAATTGCATTCTGCGCCGCCACAACTCCACCGCCACCGTGGACGGGAGCTGTTTGGACGAATTGCCCCAAAACCTGACCGCCGACGCTCTCGGTTATTATCCGGGCGCCCGGGATATCGGTCTCCGACACCATCACACCTTCGGTGCTCACCGCATCGGTGGCCTGGCGGTGAGCAACGAGGCCGGCTCTCTCGTTGAACGTCGCGGCGGATTGCATCGCGGCGGCCGGACCGCCCTTCTGGGTCTGTCCGAAAACCATGGTCTCGGCGCTCTGCATCATGTTGGCGTCTTCAGGGGCGATTGGCTTGGACGCGAGCTCCCCCGAGACGTCGAAAACGTCGCCGTACCTGATTGGATCGAGTTCCTCCTGCCCTGCCGCTGCACCAAATTGCTGCTGCGGCTGTTGGTCCGGCCTTCTTGGCTGTCCCTGGCTCATCGTATTACGAAAGGCTGTCGCTATCTTCGTGAAGAGAAAACTCTGCTAACAGATCAGACTGTGTTGAGGTTTGGGAATTTGAGATCGATGGATTGGATTGGATTCTAGTGTACTGACATTAGGAACTGAGCTATATACAAGGAAGGTAGCGGTGACGTGTCGAGAGAAGGAGCGAGGTGGTGTGCCTTGTCATGGTACACGTGGCGAGGTTTGGGAGATGCATGATGCTGCTGATATTTTCTTGAAACTGGCACTGGGAATTGTCGGGTGGCATCCCTAGTTTCCACGTGGCAAGTTTGGTTTCCTGGCTAGCTATGACCTATGAGATTTTGGCCAGCAAGGTAAATGACTTAGGGGGGGCAGTTGGAAGTTAAAGGACGCCGGTGGCTTTAAATGGTAAAAGAAGTTCTCATTTGACCAATGGGATTATGAGAAAAGAGAGAACCGTCTGCTTAATTAGCATTTGACATACCCATAATTTCATCTGTTGACGATTACAAGGATGAATATGTAAGCCCAATTCTCTATACATCACTGGGAATAATTGTGGCCCAATTGTAATTATCACTTAATGGTTTAATATATAAGGTAAGTCATATATTGGTTAGGTTAATGAAAAGTACGTTCCTAATATACTCTGATGGTGGTCTATATAAAGAAGCCCTAGGGGCTAGGATTGGTCATCTCTCAACTCATTACGTAGAATTTCTTAGTCGTCATAGAAATCTCTAAACCTAAAACCTAAAGGGGTCAAGAGGGAGAAACTCAATTCCGTTGATTACTACTCAAACCGTTGTCGCCGCTCTCGTCATGGATCGAGGTAGGTTTCCTTGAACTATTACCGATTCGTGAAATCGTCTAATTCTAAGATCCATGATATTATGATTTATGTTTACATGTGGTATCAGAGCCTTAGGGTTTATATGAATGGATGATTTTCGATTATGTATTATGCTCGATTAGTCTCTGCTGCGTTTATATCAATTGCTTATGCAAGATTAAAGCTTGTTGATGCTTCTGATTGATCATCTGTTTATTCTATTGAGTCCACGTGTTCGAGATTTGTACACAACTGTATTTAACTTCTTTGCGGTTGGTCTTCTGTCTGTCGAGCAATTATTCGCCGTTTATCAAGAACATATATATGTGCAGTGCATGTATGTTTATGCTTACATGATATATTGATATGTTTGTTTCCTCAATTATAATGAATTGCGATGACAGTATCTTGCCTTTATTTCCTTTTCAACTAAAAATCATGATAAATGCAATTAGGGATGATTACAATTGCTTTTGTATATGCGTTCTATTAATTAAGAGTTTGGGAAGGTTGATAAAGCTTTATGTTTGTCTCAATGATGATTAATATTGTTTTTCCATTAGTAACAGTATGCAATTGGAGACTCAAGTTTTGGGTCTGCGTATTTCAAAGCATTATTAACAGCTGTCTTACCTTAAGTTAAAATTTTACATTTGATATCTACTTTATGATTAATTTGTTAGTCACCAAAGTGGCCAAATTAGAAGGTTTATAGATATCAAGTTGAATCAAGTTCAACTGCTAATGTTTATGTGATGCTTTTAAGTTGAAGTTCGTGATTATAAAATATTTTGAATCGCCCAAAGGTTGATTGCTCATTTTATAATTCATGAACATTATCATGGTAAATTGATATGCTTGGTTAGATATATTTAGTATATCCAAAGATTGCAAGTATATCTAATTTGAGTATGTCTATCACCAGATATGATTATTTTGAGCATCAATTACGATTATTTATTGCATATATATTGTTGTTTTGCCCAAAGGTAGCACCAATATATATTTTATGTTTATGCTTCCAAATCTGTGTTATAGTTTATGGTTATTACCCAAAGCATTAATGTGTGAGTACATGTTATATATGTTTGCAGCATCTGTTCCTGTTTCTCTTCATTCGCAAGCCACGTCTGTTGTTAAGTTTAATGGCCTCAACCTCCAGAGTATGGCACATTCCATGTGCATTACAATACTCTAAAGGATAAATGGAATGTGCATGAGTTATAAAGTATGCTCATTCAAGAGGAAGCAAGGCTTAAGAAACCAGGAAATCATTCTGCCAATCTTGTTGGTCATGAAGGAGCTGGAAAGAAATCATGGAACAAGAATGGTAAGGGCAAGGAAGGACTATCAAAGCTTAATGAGTCATCTGCCAAAATCCACAAGAAGGAACCAAGTAAGGATATATGCCGCTTTTGTAAGAAAGCCGGACATTATCAGAAGATTGCTTGAAAAGAAAGGCATGGTTCGAAAGAAAGGGTAAGCCTAGTGCTTCAGTATGTTTCGAATCAAATTTAACTGAGGTTCCTTATAATACTTGGTGGGTTGACACTGGTTGTACCATTCATGTTTCCAAAACGATGCAGGGATTCCTTACGACCCAAACCATAATGCAAAATGAGAAGTTCATCTATATGGGAAACCGAGCCAAAGTTCCAGTTGAAGCTATTGGGACTTATCGTTTGGTTTTAGATACTGGTCATCATTTGGACCTTGCCAATACCCTTTATGCTCCTTCTATTTCTCGTAATTTGGTTTCAATGTCTCAACTAGATAAGGCTGGGTATTTTTGGAACATTGGAAATGGTTCTATTAGTTTGTTCAAACATAATGTTTTATTGGGTTCTGGTACCCTTATTGATGGTTTGTACAAACTAAAGCTTGATACCCTATTCGTTGAGACTCTCTTAACCTTGCATCATAATATTGGTATTAAGCGTGGTTTGTTTGATGAATCCTCTGCTTACTTGTGGCATAAACGTTTGGGTCACATATCCAAAGAAAGAATGGAAAGGTTAGTAAAGCAAGAAATCCTTCCTCATTTGGATTTTTTACCTTGGAATTTGTGTTGAGTGTATTAAAGGAAAACACACAAAACACACACTTAAGAAAGCAGCCACAAGAAGCTCACAGCTCCTTGAAATTATACACATTGATATTTGTGGGCCTTTTGATGTTCCATCACTTGGTGGAGAAAAGTATTTCATTACCTTTATCGATGATTTTTCACGTTATGGATATATCTATTTGCTGCATGAAAAATCTCAGTCGGTAGATACCCTTGAGGTGTTTATCAATGAAGTTGAGAGGCAATTAGAAAGAAAGGTGAAATTTGTCAGATCTGATAGAGGTGGAGAATATTATGGAAAATATGATGAAAGTGGACAGTGCCCTAGTCCATTTGCTAAGTTCCTAGAAAGACGTGGTATTTATGCTCAATACACTATGCCAGGAACACCACAACAAAATGGTGTTGTAGAAAGGCGGAATCGTACTTTAATGGATATGGTTAGGAGTATGTTAAGCAATTCATCTTTACCCAAATGATTGTGGATGCACGCTTTAAGGACCGCTGTGTATTTGTTAAACAAGGTTCCTAGTAAAGCAGTTCCTAAGACACCTTTTGAACTGTGGACGGGAGGGAAACCCAATTTAAGGCACCTGCATGTTTGGGGTTGCCCAGCTGAAGTGAGGATATATAATCCACATGAAAAGAAACCGGACTCACGAACAATCAGTGGTTTCTTCATTGGTTATCCAGAAAAATCTAAGGGGTATCGATTTTATTGCACTAACCATAGTACGAGAATTGTTGAAACTGGAAATGCTAGGTTTATTGAGAATGGTGAAGTTAGTGGGAGCTTAGAGCCACGCAATGTGGAAATTCAAGAAGTTAGAGTGCAAATCTCTTTGCCTCTTCCCTCTTCTCAAGTTGTTGCTCCTGCACATGTTGAGCATGATAACGATTTGCAAGAACAACAAATGAACGGTCAAGCACCACCTAATATTGCTATTGACAATGAAACTAACATAGATGAACCACAAGAAATCGCATTAAGAAGGTCTAAACAAGAAATCGAAGACCTGCAATTTTGGATGATTATGAGGTTTATCTTCACGAGTTAGAATCTGATTTAGGATTCTATCATGATCCAGTTTCATTTTCACAAGCCATGGAAAGTGAGCATTCTGATAAATGGTCAGCTGCCGCAAAAGAAGAGATGAAATCTATGTATAAAAATGAAGTTTGGGATCTTGTTGATTTTCCTGGAGGTTGTAAAAGAGTTGGTAATGATGGGTCTGGAAGACCAAACACGACTCTAATGGCAATATCGAAAGACACAGGGCCAGAATTGTTGCCAAAGGTTTCACTCAGAAAAGTGGTGTTGACTATAAAGAGACATTTTCACCCGTCTATAAGAAAGACTCCTTAAGGATTGTCATGGCAATGGTAGCTCATTATAATCTAGAGCTCCATCAGATGGATGTGAAAACTGCCTTTCTGAATGAGAATTTAGATGAAGCAGTCTATATGGATCAACCTGAAGGTTTTGTGGTTGAGGGAAAAGAACATATGATGTGTAAATTAAAGAAGTCAATATAAGGACTTGAACAAGCTTCCCGACAATGGTATATTAAGTTCAATGATACCGTTACATCTTTTGGATTTAAGGAGAACATCGTTGATCGATATATATATCTGAAGATTAGTGGGATTAAGTTTATAATTTTAGTTCTGTATGTTGACGATATCTTGCTTGCTACTAATGATCTTGGTTTATTACATCAAACCAAGGAGTTTCTCTCTAAGAACTTTGAAATGAAGGATTTGGGTGAGGCATCCTATGTGATTGGAATAGAAATATTTCGTGATAGATCACAAGGACTGTTGGGATTGTCTCAGAAATCATACATTAACCAGATCCTAGAGAGATACAACATGGCTGAATGCTCTGCAAATGTCGTTCCAATTCAGAAGGGAGATAAATTTAGTCTCAAACAATGTTCAAAGAATGAATTGGAACTCAAGCAAATGGAACACATTCCTTATGAATCTATTGTTCGAAGTTTGAATTATGCACAAACTTGTACCAGACCAGACATCAATTTTGCTGTCGGAATGCTGGGCAGGTATCAAAGTAATTCAGGAGTAGATCATTGGAAAGCTGCAAAGAAGGTACTAAGGTATCTGCAAGGAACAAAAGACCACATGCTCACCGACTTGGAATTGTCGACACTATCGCCAAGCCGCTGAAAATTTACTGTGATAATTTCGCAGCGGTATTCTTCTCTAAGAATGACAAGTATTCGAAGGGTGCTAAGCATATGGAGGTGAAATATTTTGTCGTTAAGGAAGAAGTTCAGAAACAAAGGGTGTCGATCGAGCATATTAGCACACAGATTATGATTGCTGATCCATTAACAAAAGGATTGCCTCCTAAGACATTTACTGAACATGTCGAAAGGATGGGGATTATAGGACGTCATGACTAAAGTTATTTTATGTTTCATGGATTGACACTTTGAGCTCATTTATTTTGTTTCTGGAATAAAGTTATGAATCTTGTTTTGTTTATTATGATCAGTATATATGCATTATGAATTATGTGGACAAAACAAGATTTTTGTCTTTAGGAAAGACATTATTGTTGGACCATTATGAATACCTTGTTATGTGTCACATTGAGCATGAAACTGGTTTTGTGGTACATGGAAGGGACTACGTCGATAAATTGATATAGAACCGCCATGATCCTAATCTAGCTTTCATACTTGATTATGACTTTATGGTGAACCAAATATTATGAATTTATCTTATGATGTGCACACTTATGTTTATTATTAGATCTTGTGATATATAATGACACATGGTCCAAGTGGGAGAATGTAAGCCCAATTCCCGTATAGATCACTAGGGAATAATTGTGGCCCAAGTGTAATTATCACTTAATGGTTTAATATATAAGGTAAGTCATATATTGGTTAGGTTAATAAAAGGTAATTTCCTAATATACCCTGATGGTGGGGTCTATATAAAGAAACCCTAGGATTGGTCCTCTCTCAACCCATTACGTAGAATTTCTTAGCAGTCATAGAAATCTCTAAACCTAAAACCTAAAGGGGTCAAGAGGGAGAAACTCAATTCCGGTGATTACTACTCAAGCCGCTGCCGCCGCTCTCGTCATGGATCGAAGTAGGTTTCCTTGATCTATTACTGATTCGTGAAATCATCTAATTCTAAGATCCATGCTATTATGATTTATGTTTACAAAATATATGAGTGAAAATGAATAAACTAGTTTTAATTATGATTTGTATCATTGTATTAGCCTATGCTAGACTAATTAAGGGTAAATTTTCAAATATAGTGATTAACTACTCCACTTCTAGAACTTGGTGCATGTGTTGCACTATTTTTGTGATTACATGATCAAATTCATATTCAGCAATTATAAAAACAAGACTTGGTAAACGCTATTTCCCAAATACATCTACCCGGCCTTTCTCTTTGTGGGGAGTTTTTCCCCTTGATCCCAACTTTACGGCAACTCTTTCTCTCCAACACTCTTGCAAATTGTTGCAATGCGTTGCTATAAAGCCATCCCAATTCCAAATTTCCAACGGATTCTCTTTCTTCTGTTCTTGCTTGATCAATTTCCTGAGAAACTAACTCTTGTATTTTCTCTCACGTTCTCTCCCTCTTTGAAGATCGATCGGTTGATCTCCTTAGAGGGAGGGAAATACATGTGAGGAGCTAGACATGAAAATGGAACCCCCAATTAGAAACTACCATACCCTAACTTTTCCAACATTCGAGAAGCCGCCATTGGATTCCGGTGGCAGCCGTCATCTTCGAGAAGGCGTAGGGTTGATTCTTTCTCGATGGAGGGCACTGCAATTGGCTGTTCAGAACCAATGGGGAGGCCATGATTCCCTTCAGAAGTCCCACCAACTAGCAAATGACGTCTTGTGTTGGTTTTTACATTGCAAGGGTCAGCCTAGCTACAACATTTTATTGTATTCTGCAATCTTACTTATAACCATCCTCGATGCAAAGATTTGATTCGACATTTTTTTGTCACAGGGCGGCTTCACGTGGAGGATCTCGAGAATTTGTTGCATGAAAATCTCCTGCTGAATTTCAACACAGAGATCGAAGACGGCAGCATTGAGGAGGTGGCAGAACAGCTGATGGTGATGTACGAAGAACACTTGCACAAGAACCATTATCACAAACCCTAGTTAAGGTTTCGATAATACGAGTTTCAGCTGCTAGATCAGATGATCTTCATGCATGCGGGGCGTGATGATGTCCTTCGGTTGTTAGAACAAGGACTTTTTCGAGATAAAGAATCTCGGTTTTTGAATTTATTATGTGGCTCTGTGATGAAATTGGATTGATCGAGTTGATGTTTAGATGATATACAGTCGGATGTATGTACCATTTTAAGATGATCACGATTCATCTTTCATTGAACCAAATCATTATCGGTTAAAATGATGAGCATGCATGTTTTTATAATTTATAAGACCCCTCATGTTAGATATTAGATTTTTTTTAATGATGGTGATAATGCATTAAAGATAAAGAAGAAAAAATCAAGAAGGTTTAATACAAGCATAGACAGACGAGCTTCACCAGGAGTGAAGGAGGTCGCACAAAAGTCAAAATAAACAAAGAAGAAACAAGACAAAAACAACCGAACCACAAGGAACAAGAGGAAGAAAAAAAAAACGAGGCACCAAACTCACCCAAAGATACCGTACAAGCGAGGCCAACCCAGGCGCAATCAAGAATAGTGGAGCCACCACGGAGGACAGCCAACGCCAGAGACCCAGCAGGATTAGATCCTTCGATATTGCACACCGAGCCACTGTCTACTGCAGATTTTGTCAACCTTATTGTGCGCAACAACCCAATCCAGAGCTGATTTGCATGCCTTACGAGCTACCACCATAGCCGGTACATTGATGTTATTGAAGACGCGTTGATTGCGTTCAAGCCAGACTTTCCAGCAAACAGAATAAAGAGCGCATGACAAGATCCAAGAGTCGATATTAGTGGGATCATTGAATGACCAACTCTGAATGGCATAAAAAATATCACCAATCGGCGGGATCACATAATCACAAACTCTTCGAATAGCGACCCATACCTCACGAACAAAAGGGCAGCTCACAAAAAGGTGGTTCACAGATTCCTCGTCGTTTTTTCACAACACGCACCTATTAGCAAGGGCCAAACCTTTCTTCTTGAGGTCGTCCAAAGTTGGGAGCTTCTTGTGAGAAACAGTCCAGAAGAAGAAGCAAACTTTCGTCGGGATCACCGATTTCCAAACAGAGGCAGCAGGGTAGTTCTGCAATCCAGAATAACGATCGCCCGCCAATTTCCTGTATAAAGAAGAAACATAAAAAGTAGACTCCGGATTTTGGAGCCACACAAGCCTGCACGGACCATAAATCACTCTACTAGGCGCTTGAGATGAAAGAAAATTTAAAAGTTCAAGTCTTTCCCTCTCCGCTCCCCCCCCCCCCTCCTCAAAGAAAATTTGAGCTCAATATGCCACCCATCCCCATCACCTGTACCAGAGAAGATGTCCGAGATCCGAGCAGCAGGGTTTGACGCAGCAGCAGCAACACGGTGAAAGGCCGAGGCAAGAGCAAGGTTGGGATTCCAAAAGTCGTGCCAGAAAGAAACATCATTCCCACTCTCGGGATCAATACAAGCATGTTTCCAGAAAACATCGAACTCTTTCATAATATTTACCCACACCGAACTTGAAAGTCTTCCTCGGGGGCGTCCAGGATTACAAGATGAGACGTTATTCAGGTATTTGATTGAAATTAGGTTCCGCCATCACTTGTCTCTGTCAACAGCAAACCTCCAGTGCCATTTGGACAGAAGGGCACTATTAAAACTCACGAGATCAATAATTCCAAGACCCCATGATCCTTGGAAGTTTTGCAAACATCCCACTTGATTAGGGGAGCCTTGCCACCTTCACCTATATCATTCCACATAAACCATCTCTGCAACTTCTCAAGTCTGTTGATCTCATTTTTTGGAGCTTTAAGGAGGGAAAAGAAGTGGACAGGCTGGCTGGAAAGAATAGAGTTAATGAGAACCAGTCTCGCACGATAGGACAGATGTCTCCCTTTCCACCCGTGGAGACGCTTCTGATACTTAGTTTCGATAGGGTCCCAAATCTTCGAGGCATTGGGTTTGGCTCCAAGAGAGAAGCCCAGATATTTCGGTGGCTCACGACTCCATTTTCATCCAAAGATATCATCAAAGAAGCTCGGTTCCGTGACATCACCCACAGTAAACATCACAGATTTATCCAGGTTGATTTTAAGGTCAGTGACCGCCTGAAAGTAAACTAGAGTAGCCAAAATGCATAAAACTTGGTCATGAGAAGCATCGTAGAAGATAAGAGTGTCATCGGCAAAAAGGAGATGAGTCACTTTTTCGAGGCCACGCTCTTCGTCAATACAGAAACCCCGAATCAGGACCCGGGGCCTTCCCACCATCACAGTCCTTAAGAGCATCCACAATTTCCAGCTCAGAGAAAAGAGTAAGACATTCCGCATCCCTCGCAGATACGAGGGAGGACATATAGTTATGAGGAAAGGGATGAGTCGAGAGCTGCTCAATATATAAACTTTGATAATGCCCAACCACCGCTTGAGCAAGCTCATCTCTTCCTTCAATAGGGCATCCATTGATCTTGATGAGATTGATGCAATTGAGCTTTCTAAGATAACTAGTTGCTATACGTAAATAGCCAGTATTGCACTCCCCAATTTGTAACCAAAGCTCACGAGATTTCTGCCTCCACCTGATTTCTTGTAAGGTAAGTAGCTTCTCCAGGTCAACTTGTATAATGTTTCTTTGTTCCAGATCATCCGAAGAAATGGTATCCACCTCCGCCCTAGCATCAAGCCCCTGAATCTTGCGAAAAAGGTCGTCGATCTTGACATTTATGTTCCCAAAAACTTCCTTATTCCAGACTTTCAACTTAGCTTTCAGCTCTTGAAGCCTTTTTAGCCCATCGAAAGACAGAACCCCAACCCTGATTGGAGCCCCCAAGTCACAACAGTAACTCCCTAAAAAAACCTTCATCCTCAAGCCACATAACTTCAAATCGCCAAGGTCTCTTAATCCGACCAGCATCACCCCATTTCAAAAGAAAAGGATTATGATCAAAATCAATCCTTTCCAAGGCTGACAGAGAGCAATCCGGATAGAAAGAATTGAAACCTTTTGAAATCGGAACACGGTCAATGCGAGAGAGAGAACCCGAACCAAAACCCCCACTTCTGGTGAACCTGTTTCCTCCCAGAGGGAGATCAATAAGCGCATTACCATCGATAAATCCATTAAATTCAAACATAAGTTCACTGCTACGACGCGAACCCACATAATCATCGTGGCTCCTCACTAGATCAAAATCTCGAGCAATACAGAAAGGATGTCTCACCTCCCGATAGAAAGACTGAAGCTCCTCCAGAAAGGCGAGTTTCTCGCACCGCTCTTGGGGACCATAAACAATAAGATGCCAAAACTTAGAGGATGCAACCTCCTGGAATTCAGCCCCAAGGAAGAAGTTACCCACTTTCTCGGACCGAAGATGAAACAAAGAGTCATCCCAACAAATAAGAATACCACCAAAACTTCCCTCTGCAGCTTTAGAGATCCAACCAATATTTCTTCTTCCACAAAAACTTCTGACCGTACTTTCGACACATTCATCCCATTTAGTTTCCACAAGCCCCGCTATATTAGGGGGGTTTTCACCTGATGATGCGTTGAATGCGACTTCTTTTATCAGGATCACCAAGACCACGAACATTCCAGACAAGAATCGAAGAACCCATCAGATTACAATTCAGAAGCCTCTTTTGCGCCTTCTTGGACCATCGATAGGGGGAATCGATGATCCTAATCTTCGTATTTCCATCTCTAACTTGGACCTCGAGCACTTGACTTTCCTTTTGTGCAACTTCTGGGCTTTCATGGCAATGATCCTATTAGTCTCATCAGTGCCATCCTCATGCTCTAACTCGAAGAGGTTTCCCAAAGCAACGCTCGATTCGATAAGGGAATCGAGGTCGAAGGAGAAATGATCGAGATCCCAGCTCCTCTCCCGATCCTCCACAAGACAGAAAGGTGAAGGCAATTCAGCAACCGAAAGCGGACTAGAAAGGAGTTTGGTGTTGGAAAACAAAGGAGGTGAACGAGAAATTAGTGTGGCCGGGTTGTCCGCTTCCAAAGAATTGGCGACGAAAGACAAAGAAAGTTCTGAAGCCTCCAAAGATATAGAAGGAGTCTGGAGAAGGGAAAGAGGTGAATCAAGACCGTCATCACTGTTCGGAGAAGGAAGGGGCGAAAGATAGGGATTAGAGAGTAGGGAATTGAAAAGGGGTTTGAGAGACAAAGAGGAAGGTTGCTGCCGAAAAGAGGATAAGGTAGAGACAAGGAGATGGACTGGAGAAGACGGAAGGGGCAGGAAAGTAGAGGAAGGCTTGGAGGACTGAACGTGACCTGGCCAAATGATATTACAACCGACCCAACCGAAAGATCCACGAGGTTGCAATGGGCTGGCCCTAGAGACAGGCTGGCCAAGGGCTGGATGGGCCGAGCAACGATGGAGGTAGATGCCTGGAGATTAAGCTTAATCCAAATAGGCCCTTCTTTTCTAACCCAAATATGTTTCGTGGAAGGCAAACACTGCCGAACAAAGCCAGACCTGCTGACTTTACAACTCCTTGGACGTGAGTCATGCGCCACCACTGATTGGGTGGAGAGACCGAGCGTGCATGCAGAGCTACAGAGTGTAATTGAGAGACCCGAGTCGCAACTCTTAGGGTTCCACTCCCCACATTCGAATTCGCCGACACTCGAACGGGTGACGGAGTTCAACGGCGACGCAACCACATCAACCAAGAACCGGTGACCTCCGAACACCACTGTGATCTCGTTGGGAATGAGATTAGTGGACCTGATTCTAATCCAAATAATTGGGAGGCACCAAGAATTCCAATCAATATCAACCAAAGTACCACAGAACTTGTCGATCGCCTTGATAAGATCAATGCTCTTCAGGTGAAAAGGAATGTTGTAGATTAAGACCCAGACATCGTCATGCCTCTCAAGAATACCTGAATCCTTCCAAGGAACGATGTCCACCAAGAAATCCTTATAGGTAGAGCGATCAAATCTTCTGATGCTAGAGACTTCCTGAAAACTTGGACAAATCAACAACCAGATACCAGTGTCACGATCCTCCAACGTGAAATTATCGCTAACAACCTAATATTTTTCTATCCAGTAACGAAATTGCGAAATAGAATCACTAGAGAAGGTTGCCGAGTTGTGTGGTAAGAATCTGATGACCAAGCTTCTCCCCAACAGCTCATGACGTTCTCGAACGCCCTCCCCGCTAACCGCAATAAATGGTTTCTCCCAACATGTTCGATAAAGCATTTACCAGCCGCATAGAAGCCGCTTCCTCTTACAACCTTAGCGTAAGATCTCACGGTCAAGGGCGGAGGTGGAGGAGGGTCAGCATTTTTCGTTGGTATCCCAAAGGATGTCCGAAGTCGATGTTGGAGTTCGACCGAGTAAAAATCCTGAAGCAGTTTGACAAGACGAGACCATCCACCTCCCAGGTCGGATGAAGGTAAGATGATTTTGAAAACCTTCCCACTGTGCACTTGTTCAGAGATTTGGAGGTAATGGTCTCTACGCATCCTGAGCCTGCCAATATGGATACCGCGGTCGCCACTTTTCATAATACACCTTGGTGAGAAGTTCCAATTTCTCATAGCAGCTGTTTGCAGAGCGCCTTGCACACAAGATAACAGAGATGCGTCCATAAGAATGAACCAACGTCTCCGCCCCTCCGCAACCTGAAGCTTGTACCACCGAGAGACTCCCAACATTCCAATACTGCACGACACCAATTTGGAGTCCAGTCGCACTTGCCTTCGACACTGGCCCGAATCGCCATAGCCGCCGTCATCCCCTGAAGCCACGGACCTGCAAAACAAAGAACACACACTCTGGTCATGCTGACCGCTCGCCATTGGTCTTCGGATGAGAATTATTTATATTTATGGTCATTCATTGGTCTTATTTTATGAGAGCACTGACGCCCCTAATAAAAAGGTCTCACTAAAATTTGGCTTAACATTTGCCATTTGCATCATCGAAACACTCAGAGAGAGGAGGATCACATACGTGTTCTTATGACACACCAAATTAGGTAACAGTTTAAGGTCGGGAAACAGTGATGTCTGGTCTAGACCGAACCATATATATGGTCTATGGTCCAGATCGAGAGGCTGGAGTACAGACCATAGATCAGACCACATACTATACGGTACAGACCAGGTCACGCCTGTGCGGTCTGGTACAATCTAGTCTAGATAGATCACATTGAACGAAAAATGAACATTTGCCTATTATATTGTAGTCCATCAAAATACTCAACACACAATCAATGTTTTCTTAATAATTAATGGAAGAAATATATATTGTTGAGTTAACATGTTTAATCAATTATTATTGATTTTTGTTATGTCTATTATAGGTTTATGTTGAAAATTTTCAGCATATATCATATAACCACTAATGAGTGTTCAATTATCTAGTCTAGACTCACTCTCACGGTATAGGTTTATAAACTCTTGACGTAATATATTATGACACAATTCTCAATCATAATATTCAAATTTATTATCTTGTACAATATCTATTAACTGGTGATTCTCGAAATTCGGATTAACTATGTTATGACACGATTTCTTTATCATAAAATTTATTATCCTGTATAATATATATTAACCTGTGATTCTAAAAATTCGGAGTTACTCTCAATCAATGGTTATTGACCATTGACTTAATATATAATAGAATTTATTATTGAAGATGTTTCATCATTGGATAAGTTTTGTTCATCTTAATTCAACGAACTTGACTAACTGCTGAGGTTCTCTCTTTGATATGGTCTTTTAGTGATTTATTCAATCAATGCAGTCAAAAGTGCGATTCTACATAGAAACGGAAAATAGGTAAAATCGTAAAACATAGAATCACAAACTAAAAACGTAAGTTTTTATTGCATCCTGTAAAATAGCTAAAAATCGGTTAAGTACAACATGTATTATGCAAAATATGAATGTATAGATTTTAGATAGTGAATAAATACATATAATTCATGTTTGAAATATAATTTTTCACTGATAAACTAATTTATGTCGATTCTAAAATAGAGCAAACTTATAACATCTTAACAAAAGTTGACAACCTATACCATAACTCAAAAACAAGGAGAATCCAAATCTAAATCACTCAACGACAACGTTAGCACCGAATTTGATCCCAAAGCAAGAAGAAAAATCATTTTCCACAGTTACAATATTGGTAGCACATTCAATCAACATCTCTAATAAAATAGACAAAAAAATGTCAAATCAAAGAGATTCCTTGAAAAACGATCAAAAGAAGAGATTCATAGAAACAAAAGACAAACCCCTTTAATCTAAAAGACCAAGCCATTCTCACATATATATATATACATGCCAGAGCACCAATTTTTGAACATTTTCAAGACCATTCCTCGAAGACCAACATAATCATGTGGAAGTAAATCAAAATCTTCCTCTGGTCGCGGCCGGAGATGGAAGGCTGCTTGGAGTTGGTGACGATGAAGGTCGTCAGTCTGCTGGCGAAGGTGGAGGCCGCGAGTCTGAGAATTGAGAGCCTTCGACTGATGGAGCGCTCGTTATCACCCCTTTTGTAACTTTTTATTTATTTTATAATGCTAAAACGCTGTCACTTTGATGAAATTGTCACTTTTTTGGTTATCAAGTGGAATCGTACAAAAACGTTATGGAAACGCGTTTTTGATGGTTTTTACCGATTTTAACGCTTCCACTTACGATTTTGAACGATTTTGAGTACAAAACGATTTTAGGTGGAAACTGAATCGTTTTAGTGATCTAGATACGTAAAAACATACGTTTTTACGCTTTAAAGCGCGATTTTGACTGTATTGGATTCAAGTTTTTATAAACATAGTTATATTTTGTATAATCCTAAGCTAAAATAAATAATGCATGCCTCGCTATTGCTAATTATTAAAAGGATAAAAGATTCCTCCCTAGGATACCTAAACCATAAACTATCAAAAAACACAAAAGCTTTGTCCCCGAAAAATTGGTCGGCATTCCTTGAGGGCGAACCTGGCAACAGCTTCTTCGAACTAGACATGAAGAGATGGTCTCTGCATTATTTGTCAGGACGTAGTAATGTGGTTAATGCTACTTTGTTCGCAGGTACGTGTTGGCTGCTGTGGAAGAACCGGAACAGTCACTTGTTCGAGGGCGAGCTGAAAACCTATGCACAGATCCAGTTCGACACAAAGCAGCTAGAGCATCGGATCCAGGAATCTTTTGAGAAAGAGAGTCGCATTTTCAGAGCCGGGGGACTCCGGGAACGACAACTAGTTGGCTGGCAACCACCTCCTGAAGGCTGGTCGTGTATTAATACGGATGGCTCGGTGATACACGCATCTGAGAGTACCACCTGTGGCGGCATCGTGAGAGGGGACGATGGCCGTTTCATCAGAGCTTTCTCAGTGAACCTAGGCGGGGGTTCAATCACTCGAGTAGAGCTAGCTGGAATTGTGCATGGGTTGAAGCTTGCCTGGGAAGAAGGGGCTAGGAAGGTGATTCTGCAGACAGATTCCAAAACGACTATTTCCCTGATAGAGACTGTGACGACCAACCACCCACATTACACGACTGTGGCAGAGATTCATCGTTGGATAAGTAGACGATGGCAGGTTAAGATTGAGCATGTGTATCGTGAGGCTAATTATGTTGCTGATTATCTAGCCTCCATTGGGCATTCCCTATCTGTAGGGATGCATGTTTTTTATGTTCCCAGTACCATGTTGCTATATTGGTTGTACTTTGATTGGGTTGGGGCTCGAACGTCGCGGTTGGTTTAATGCATAAAAGTTGGGGTGTCATTTAAGCGCTCCGTTTTCGACCAGAAAAAAGAAGTTTAATAATTCTTTCTAATATTTTAATTGACAAAATTATCCTTCCTACAAATTTTCCTACAAATCCTTAGAAGACTAGAGATTTTGAATGGGCTATGTTCTTATGGAGAACCTCCCTATAATAGTGGTTAGATTTAAGGAATGTGACATGAGGAGTGAGGACAGGATTTGATCCGTGTGACGGTCTATTTTCCCTTCCTTTTCTTTTCCCCCCCACAAATGAAAGACACAGAAACTTCCCCCCTTCTCATTCTTTCATTCATTTTCTTCTACCTCCATGTACCCATACTCCTTTATTTTTCATCACATACTTACACTTTGTCATATTTTTGCATACACACTTGGAATTTCTCATATACTATATTTGTTGAGATATATTGGTGTATGACGGAAAATGTTCGGGTATAATGGAGAAGATTGACGAATATCGGAGAATAACAAAGAATGTTGGTGAATGTTGACGTAAGTTAAAGAATTCAACTACGACTTTTTCCTATAAATAGGGAGCCCCCTCCCCCTTCTTTAGAAGACAAGGCATACACACAACACAAGTCACTTACGAACCAAACCTTCAGAACTCTCTCCCACTCTTTCTCTCTAAATTTTCTCTCTCTCCTCTCGATCTCCCAAAACGTGTTAAATCTCTCAACACTCACGACACACACTCACGACACCTCCCTCAATTTGGCGGACTAACATGGAATCGTGGATAGTCTCCACACGGTATTAAATGGTCGCCGACGCTCAATTACGATCTTGAGATCGAATAAGGTCTAAAGTCATCGTATTTATTTTGTTTCATTCAGGTTACTAATTTGAGCATCGGAGGAGGTTCCAACAAGGACTCCCCCGACGAGACTTTCTTTTCTAGGCTTTCGCACAGAGCTGGAGGTGATTAAAGACTTTGTGAAATCAGTGTTCTCCGGACCTTAAACATATTGAAGCAAACTACTCTAAACTTCGCATCAACAACTAGATAGAAGATGCTTCCCTTTTTGCATGAATACTCCTACGATCCAGGGGTTGTATGGTATGGACCGTCCCAAATTAGATTTTATATGGAAGGGGAATTATGCTTAGCATCCATGAAGTGCACAAGACCATCATCTGTTTTAGGTTTTGAGGCCAAAATGACTTCCATTCTTGGCTTAGTGCTTCTATGAATTCTTTTGACAGTGTAGCACCTTAGAAAATGGAAACTCTCTTTCTGAAGCGACATGTACAATTTTATTCTCCCTAGGAAGGACTCCAGAGGTTGTTTGAACCGTCCCAACTTGTTCAAGATGAGAATTCATAAATTCAACCTCTTTAACATCTTTGCTAGCCTGTTCCTAACCAGCTTTGAACAAAAGATCAGGTTCTTCTTCAGTTGAGGTTGTATGTGTTAAAGACCTTTATATATTTCTTCTTAGGATTGTTTTTCATATTACTTGGAAGAATTATGGCGGTCAGGCATTCATTGCGGACATTAGGGTGGCTAACTGACGTTCCATGGTAAGCAAAGTAGCTTGTTGTTGTCCTTGGAATAAGGTTTGAAGCTTTTCTATGCAAGGGATATCTTGAGAGGGAGTAAAGACTCGACTCAGTTACATGGAGGACTTCAAAAAAAGGCGGTAATCCGTTAGCAAGCGGAATCCTGATGAAAGAGTGTTTGGCCATTACATTGACAACCCTGTTAAAACTCCGAGGAGCAAAATGACACTACATTGACTCAAAAAACGAGAAAAAGGAGTGAACTTCCTCCAAAACAGCCCTTGTCCGATCACTGCTTGCAAAAATAATTGAAATTCGAGTTAGAACGAAGAAGATAAGAGCCGATTAAAAAAACTAGGGAAAATAAAATGTTTTTAATTGACAACCCTTAGATCTGAATTTTCTGGACCCACTTAGATCTAAAGGTCCATATTTAGTTACTCATAGGTCAGTGGGTCCAGAAAATTCAGATCTAAGGGTTGTCAATTAAAAACATTTTATTTTCCCTAGTTTTTTTAATCGGCTCTTATCTTCTTCGTTCTAACTCGAATTTCAATTATTTTTGCACAGATGGAACGAGTTCATTGTGCTCTACAAAATGAGATCAATTTTCAATATATTTCGAGAAACTTTTTTTTACCAACTACATACCATATGGTAACTTCTTCGTTTTTAAGTCGTTTTTGAAAACGTTTGCTCAGAAGGAACGAGTTCATCATGATCTATTGGATCTATAAATTTATGGGTGAAAAAAATACTGGATAAAAAATTACCATACTTTACCAATATGGTATATGGGTGGTAACTTGTGGTAAACAATGATGAAAGTCGTAAATGACAGTTAGTATACTTCTACTATCATGTATTCAACCTTCTTACCATATTGGTATGTTCATACCATCATGGTACGCTTTCTTTCTATATGGTATTAAATAGGAACATACCACATGGTAACGACCGGTAAAAAATTATTCAATTTTTTTGTGCTAAAAATATATCAAAGTAGATATAATTTTAAAGAACACATTTAATCTGATTTATCTGTGCACAAATATTAAATTTCGACTTAAAACGAGAGAGAAATCGTCTGTTAAAGATTAAAGGAGAAGAGATAAAAAAGACTTTCCAGGAAAGAAAGGATATTGATGTCATGCTCATGTGAACAGGTTACTCATGATTACTGACCATTGAATTACTGATCTGACTGACCTGATCCTTTCCCCATGTGAGGCCTTTGACCGAATTCCCACGGTCGTGAATTTTTGCCTCCTCGGTTGGATGCTACGGTAGGGGTCATGGTTCTAAGCACAAAGAGGTTATGGTTGTTTATGAGAACCCTTCCGATACAAGATCAGACAATAAGCAATCTGATTCCATTTCCCTGTAAGTAAAATCATTCAATGCCAACACCCAGATTTCAGTAAATGCTTTCACAACCACCTTTCTTCACTCTCTCAAAATTATTCATTGCATCATGTATTACTCAAAATGAGTGACAGTCAAAACACCCGGCCAGGTCTAAAGTTTGTTCCATTTCCTATCTATGGCAAAACCTCCAAACCTCATACTTTTCTGAGAATCCTTCCATTTTCAGGAGGCACCCGCTATCAACAATGCTTTTCCAGAGAAAACCCAATTTCCCACGCAACCCAACCCTTCATAATTGCTACCACCAACCTCTCGTCTTCACCACAGAAGTTCACCCCTCATAGATTAAATCCCTCCCAAAACCTTAGAACTTCACTTCCCTCAGGTCATAGTTTCCTCCCCACCAAAGAAATGGCTTCTGGGTTTTCTTCAGCAACCAATTTAGCCGCTGCAATGGCCCTGTTTTTCTTCATCTTGCTCGCCAGTGCTCACACATCCTCCCCTGTTCCACCCTCGTCCTCTGCTCCACCGCCGCTCCCTGACGACGATGATGTAATCACACTAAAGGATATAAAAACGACCTATCTAATGCCGACATTGGTCTTGTTCGTGTTCATTTGTTTCACCTTGGCTTGTCTTTGTATATCGGTCGGCGGCTCCAACGAAACTGTTCTCAAGGTTCAGGTACTGCTGCTGCTCTGTTTTCCGCGCAAGAACTCTGTCATTTTTACATTCTGATGATTTCTGGTCAATAATACATTTTTCAGGTTGTGTTGTCTGCTAGAGCTGGTGACACAGGCCGTGTCCTCCGCGACATATTTGCAAACACCAACAGACCAGAGCCTATGACATCGTCGAAGAAGACAGTGTTGAAAGGTTGAGATTGTTTGATTTCCGCTTAATAAATCCTCTGTTTCCCCCCCTCCCAACAATTTGGCGGCAACTAATAGTTCGTAATTCTCTTTGCAGAGATCATAAATGCACTGTTGGAGCACCAAAGCAGCTTCATCTATGGCTCTTCTACATCCGTGAAAGTAAAAAATCAGAAACTGATATGGATGATACGTGGATTCCTTTTGTGGTTTTTTTTTGTTTTGGTCTTATCAGCTGAATAGAAACTGCTTGGCAGGGGAAACCCTCGGATGATTTATGGCCTCTGAAGGGAATGGTGAGGGAAGAAGAGAGAAAGCTGAGAATCGAACGAGAGTATGTCTATAATAATCTGTTGGTTCCCAAGTTAGCGCCGAAACAGGACAAAGATTACACCGTGGTGAGCCTTCTTCTTCTTCTTCTTCTTCTTCTTCTTCTTCTTCTTCTTCTTCTTCTTCTTCTTCTTCTTCTTTCAGGTCTTGAAAGGGTTTCTCCTTGTTCCTAAACTGGTTGTGACGCCATACACAGGTGGTGATTATGGTGCATGCTGAGGGTGATCATAAGCTCCCAGCGGTCAGTAGTAGCGTGGATGTGAAAGAAGCTCTCAACTATCTGGAAACCAAGTTGTTCTCCAGAGTTCTGGTGATTAGTCTCAACTATGATCTTGTGTTTGAGTGTGCGATTATGTTGATTCTGGGCACTAAATTATATTTTGCTGTTCTTCTGGTTTTTGTTTTGGTTATGCAGGACGTGGAGGTAATGTGGGTTTACCAGGATCCTTTGCGAATTGTGGAATTGCTTGATGGCTATCCAGACCTGAATTCCATCCTTGCTTGAATCGTGATGATGCAAATTAATTACTACCGCTCTCTGAGTCTTTGTACTAGCTGATGCCTGTTCTTATAGTTGAGGGTTTATGTCAGATTGCTCTAACTGATAAATGAAGTAAGGAGATATTAGGGTATGTGTAGGATTTTATGAGTATTAAAGTAAGAGGTGGGTTGGTATTTGCAATTGTTAGAACGAATGCATAAAATGTTTGCATTGTAAATTGATCTATTATTTAAATGCGTTATTTTATTCCAATATTTGGTGGTTGTGATTAGTGCTGGAAGTTTGGTACCGGTATTTGGAATATACCGAAAACCGTACCGAATTTGTCTATATTTGTTATTACCGAATACACGTATTATTTTGTGGGATTGGGATTGAGATTGAGTTTCAATTGTTATTCGGTATTAGGGATTACGGTATTGGAATCGGTATATACCGAAATACCGATCAATACCGAAATATAAGCTAGTGTGTATTTTATCCTCTCAACTAGACTCTCTCATTCACTACTATGCGACCCTCAACCACCAAAAGTGTCATTTAATTATACATAGATCATTACATCATTATTTCACACTAGTATTAGTCGTCTCTTAACCTCAAATTCATCAAATTAAAGATTACCAATTACAAAAACTTGAGATGTTAGCTCTAGGCAACTTAAGACTCTTTGCTTAGTCTCTTTGCCCTGAATAAACAATAAAATATAATTTATACATTTAATTATTAATGGCAAACGTAATTAATTTTTGTATTTGATAATACCGATTGGGATACCGAAATATTTAGGGATTGTGATTGGGATACCGAAATTATTTAGGGATTGGGATTGAGATTGATTTCAGGGTGTAATTTGGTATTCGGGATTTCGATATTTGGTATTGGGATACCGATACCGTACCGATTTCCACCCCTAGTTGTGATTGTAGTTATTTTAGAAATAATATGAGAAATTTATTTTTATTGAAGAGTCATGTCAAACCTTGTATTATAGATATAAAAATCAACCATGTATAAAAGTTAATTGCGGTATATAAGGAGAGGAATATGTGTGTAAATTCCAAGGATTCAAATACTGTACCGTATCGGTTCGACCTGAAAAACCTCTACCGGACGCAAAACTGGCAGACAATATTTAGCGGTATAATATGGTTGAACCATGGTTAAACCACAGTTTTAGCATAAAATACTCTACTGCTAACTTTTCCGATACGACCTCAGTACGGTATTTCAATCCTTGGTAAATTCACAAAACAAAATCTCAACCATCTAACCAAAAAGTTGAGTGTAAATTATTTATTTTGAATATTTCAAATGTCATATCAACAAACAATCAACAATGTATTCTGTATCATTCCTAAAGAGAGAAAAACTATACAATCTATACAATAAAATTAAGGAAAAATCTAATCAAGTTAATTAATTGTAACTTAACACTCCATTTCTGGGCCGCTGTTACTTATCGTCCAAGCCCAAAAACAAAGGACGACTTGGAGCCCAGATAAAATCCCCTCCGGGAGCCCATATCTACGACCCTACCCGATTTCTTACACTACTTTTCCCGCCATGGCACGGCAATTCCGGCAAGAGAAAAGTGCACAAGCAAGAAACAGAAGAGGAAAGAAATAGGGAACAGATATCAGAGAATGTCGATTTCTTCGATTCGCGAAAGTGGCGGGCCGTCGTCTTCGGTGGCGGCGACCCAGATGCCTCCGGGCGTCAAGTTCTCCCCGACGGACGGAGAACTGCCGGGGTACTAGTTAGTAGTTACTACCTCTACAACCACATGCGCCGCTGCCGCCGGCTCACTACTCGGCGATCCGCCGCCACGACCTCTACGGCGACTACGAGCCGTGGGAGATCTGGCAGCGCCTCCAGTCCTCGGGCGAGGAGCCCGGCGACGTCTACGCCTTCACCTAGCGGAAGAAGAAGGTGAAGTCCTGCGGCGGCGAGAGCAAGAGATCTGGCCGGAAGGTCGGGCGGGGCGGCGGGAACTGGCACGGCGAGGACGTCGGGAACAAATTCAGGCTCGTCCGCCGCGAGCGGTCGTCGCTGGAGAAGGAAGAGAGCTGGATCGGGACGCGGAAGAGGTTCAGATACAGAAACCCTAATCCCCAATTCGCCATCGAGCGCATGAAGAAGTGGATCCTTTACGAATTCAGCATGACGAGAGAGGGCTGCAGCGACGAGGAGAAGGAATTCGTGTGTATGATCCGCAACAACGGCTCCCCTATGATGATTTGGTACGTTTAGGTTCTCCCCTGCTCCGAGGACTCCCTTGAGATGTTGATTGCCAGGGACTAGGGAGTACTGTAACATCCTTAGTTATCCGCCATTGCTCTAAGTCTGCTTCATTTGATCATGATTGTGAGGCGCCGATTGCGATGAAGCAAGTCTGCCCAAACTTGTGGTTGTTTATGAGAACCCTTCCTATATCAGATCAGATAATAAGCTTCCTGATTCCATTTTCCCGTAACAAAAATCATTCAATGTCACCAACAAGATTTCAGTAAGTGCTTTCACAACCACCTTTCTTCACTCTCAAAATTATTCCTTCCTTCATGAGTGACCCCAATGAGTGACATTTCAACAACACTCCAGAGCTTTACTGGACCACCAATCAATCACAGTCTAAACTAGAACACCAGGCCAGGTCTATAGTTTGTTCTTTTTCCTATCAATGGCAAAACCTCAAAACCTCATACTTTTCTGGGAATCCCTCCATTTTCAGGCTGCACCCACTATCAACAATGCTTTTCAAGAAGAAACCCAATTTCCCACGCAAACGAACTCTCTATAATTGCTCCCACCAACCTCTCATCTTCACCACACAAACAAGCTACTTCCCCAGAAGTTCCCCCCATAGATTAAATCCCTCCCAAAACCTTAGAGCTTCACTTCCCTCAGGTCATAGTTTCCACCCCAACAAAAAATGGCTTCTGGGTTTTCTTCAGCAACCAATTTAGCCGCTGCAATGGCCCTATCCTTCTTCATCTTGTTCGTCAGTGCTCGCACATCCTCCCTTGATCCACCCCAGTCCCCTGCTCCATCGCCGCTCCCTGCCCGTGTTGATTCAACCACAGTAGTACTGCTAACATGTGCAGGCTTAATCGTTATCATGGTTGTCGCCATGGCTTGTATGAGTATTTGTAAACCGAGAAGAAGTACCGGTGGTGGCTATGACGGAACCGTTCTGAAGGTTCAGGTACTGCTGCTGGTTTGTTCTCGTGCAAGAACTTGCATTTTACATTCTGATTTCTGGCTTATACATTTTCAGGTTGTGTTGTCTGCTAGAGCTGGTGACATAGGCCGTGTGCTTCGCGACATATTTGCAAACACAAACAGACCAGAGCCTATAACAGAGTCGAAGAAGACAGTATTGAGAGGTTTCTTTTGATTGATCGATTTCTGTTTAAATTCTCTGTTTCCCCCAACAATTAATCAACTAATGATCAGTAGTTCTCTTGCAGAGACCATAAATGCACTGTTGGAGCACCAAAACAGCTTCATCTATGGCTCTACATCTGTGAAGGTAAAGATCAGAAACTAATGGATATTATATGGGTTCCTTTTGTGTGTTTTTTTTTTTTGGTCTTAATAGTTGAAGTTTGAATCTGAATATGAACTGCTTGGCAGGGGAAACCTTCGGATGGTATATGCAGCTCGTTTGCTATAGGGCCTCTGGAGGGAATGGTAAGGAAAGAAATGAGAAAGCTGAGAATCGAACGAGAGTGTCTCTACAATTACCGTTTGGTTCCTAAATTACCACCCAAACAGGACAAAGATTACACTGTGGTGAGCTTTTCTTTCTTTCTCATTCGTTAAAAAGGTTTCTCCTTTTTCCTAAACTGGTTGTTACGCCATCCATAGGTGATGATTATGGTGCTTGCTGCGGGTGAGCATAAACTCCCTGCGGTCAGTAGTAGTGTGGATGTGAAAGAAGCTCTCAATTATCTGGAAAACAAGTTTCTCATAATACAGGCAATTAGTCTCAACCATGATCTTGTGTTTGAGTGTGCGATTATGTTGATTCTGGGCACTAAATTATATTTTGCTGCTCTCCTGGTTTTTGTTTTGGTTATACAGGACGTGGAGGTAATGTGGGCTTACCAGGATCCTTTGCGAATTGTGGAATTGCTTGATAGCTATCCGAACCTGTATTCCATCCTTGCTTGAAACGTGATGATGCAAAATAATTACTACTATTCCCTGAGAGTCTTTGTATTTAGCTGGTGTGGTATTTAAGGGTTTATGTCAGATTGCTCAATCTGCTAAATGAAGTCTGGAGAGATTGGATTAATGTAGACCTATTAATGGATGGCTAAGATTGAATGTGGCACCTGGCCTAAATCTTTTTTTATTTATTAGAAGATCACTGTATTAACTAAAGAGAGTCATTTTGTAGTTGGATTGAAGTTGAATCTATGGATGAGGAAGATTGAAGAAGACATGCCAAACATTTAACTTAATTACTTTGCTGAGCTGTGGCAATGGGTCGGGTTTTGCCAAACCCAAACCCATGGGTTTATCCGTGAAAAAAACCCGAGGTAAAACCCATAGGGTTTGAAAAACTCAAATCCAACCCAACCCACTGGGTATCCGTGGGCTCATGGGTACCCACGGGTTTTTGTCGTAAAAAATTTACACTAACAAGTTTGTATCAAAATTAAAGTCAAATATTAATCTCTCAATACAATTTATCCATATATAAAACGGAAAAAATCCCACTGTACACTAGTTATTAAAAAAAATTCCCAAAATACATAAGTTATAAAAAAAATTCCAAAAGTACACATGTTTGAGCATCACCGTTTTAGACAAAGGCGGTGAAGGTTATCACCGCGTTTAATAAACACGGTGAAAACTTCACCGTTTTAAAGTAAAACGGTGATGCCTTCACCGTCTTAGTCTAAAACGGTGATGAATGCATCACCGTTTTAAACTAAAACGGTGAAAAAATCACCGTTTTAATCAAAAACGGTGAGGACTTCACCGTCTTAATAAAAAACGGTGAGGACTTCACCGTTTTTGTTGGCCGCGGTGAAGTCGCTGACGTGGACAGACACGGGGTATTCACCGCGTTAGACAAACACGGTGAAAACCCCGTGTTTGTTTGCGTCAGCGATCCGCGCCAGTGTGCTTTCACCGTGGCCGTTAGATGCGGTGAGGCGCGGATCGTGGTTTTCTTCCCACGATCCGACGCCTCACAGCACGCCACGTGGACGGGGGAACCGTTTTTGGGGAATGCGAGGCCTTCACCGCGTTCATCAAACGCGGTGAATGCTTCCCCATAATTACTGCGCATCAGCTCCTCCCCCCTTCCCCCAACTATAAATACACCCTTCCCCTTTCACTTTCAACTCACCCCACAAACATTTCACTTCTTTCTCCCTCAATTTATCCGCTCTAGTCTCGTTCTTAGTATGCTCTGTGGTTGCGGCTAAGTCCGATCTTCCACATCAGAAAGAATTACTAGAGTTTGACCCTAAAGCACCCGTCCCGCTAAGTTCCCGTCCCTTACAAACCTAAACCCGTCGAACCTCTGTCCGGCTTCCGCCAATAATGGACGAAGAGGCTCTTCGTGTAGGTTTTTGGTTTATGATTTTTTTTAATCGAAACAATTTGATTTTTTTTTATCAAAACAATCTCTGATTTCATTACTTTTTTATAGATGGGTGCCGAGATATACGATCCTCGATTGTATATCCATTATGGCCCAAGGGATGCGAGTCTCTTAACCGATCAAGAAGCTCATCGCTCCCGTGCCATTTGGGATAACAATCCGGTAATTTGATGAACTGACTTGCTTTATTTTATTATTTTCTAATGTTTTATTTTGCTTTATTTAATCTAATAAATTGATGTTTTTCCTATTTTTTTAGGAATCTCTTGTTCCCGTGGTTCATAAAGGGACCAATAACTTGCCCGCTTGGCATCCAAGGTTGGAGCCCTATATAGCGAGGACCGGTTTGGGAATGTTGCGCCATTTCTTGCGGATCGAGATCGACAACGATCTGCTTACGGCAATGGCGGAACGATGGCGTCCCGAAACCCATACATTCCACCTTGCGGAGGGGGAAATGACGATCACCCTCAAAGACGTGGCGATCCTCACCGGGCTTCCTATATCTGGAGATGCCATCATTGGTTCCACGACCAAACCCGGAGGAGGTTGGGGGCCGCTCATCCGTGATCGTTTGGGCTTCGACATGCCGACCACCACACCAAATCAAGGACGGGGGGCATCCACCGTTGAATGCGGGGCAAGTGTCGGTCCCGTGGCTGGTATCTCACATCCAGCAAGAGGTGGAAATCAATGACGAGACACCGGAAGAACAAGTCGAGTGCTACGCCCGCATCTACCTCGTCGGTTTGGTGGGTGGATTTTTGTTCCCCGACAAGTCCAACCGGTGGATTCAAGGCATATGGTTGCCATTGCTCACCGGTGACTGGGATGCAATTGGAGAGAAGAGTTGGGGATCGGCCGTGCTAGCGGGCGTATACCGGGAGCTGTGTACTTGCTCGAAGGTTGGGGCAAAGCAAGCTGGTGCTGCGATGTTCATCGTTCAACTGTGGGTATGGGAGCATCTTCCAATGTTCGCACCTCTCGACCCACGTCCATACCGGAGAAACGATGATGAGCTCAACCTTCTGCAAAATCTCCCCTATGGTGTCAAGTAAGTTTATTTCGTACTTAGCCCAATTTAAATTTTATTACATGCTTGAGCTAGATTTATGACAACTTCTTGGAACACGACCCCGCCAGCACTCATGTCTGGATACCGGTAAGTAATTTTGCCAAGTCTCGTCTGTCCGCTCGTACAAACCCTTTATGCACAAAGATCACAGAGTTCTTGAAAATTGAATCGGGAATCAATTTTCAGCATAATGGATTCGCCGTCCTCATAATCAATGCCTATGTCAGAGTTTGTCACCCTTCCATTCCACCGTATAGTAAGATGAAACTTCTTGAATTTACCCATATCTACAATTTACAATAAGTATCTATTAGCTTAAAGACAGTAAAATTAACCAAAATCATATTGTACAACTAATATTAAATCATACCATAACTAACGAAAATAAATTCAACTAACTAACAACAACATGATACGAAAATTAAATCATACTATAACTAACGAACATAAGTTCAACTAACTAACAACAACATAATACGAAAATTAAATCATACTATAACTACTAAAAACATAATTAGACTATAATACGAAAAGTCTCAACATACCGAAAAATTTCTGTTCTGTGTATTATGCTCGATTTTGGCTGCTGAAATTTGAAGAAAGGGGAGTGGTTATGTTTTTACAACTGCTGGTGGTGTGCAATTTATAGGAAAATCTGCCTACTATTCACCGTTTTTGTCGAAAACGGTGAACATCATCACCGCGTTTGTCTCAAACGGTGAATAGGTGGTAGCTGCGACCTAATTTTGACCTACCAGGGGTGGGAAACGTGGGAAATAATCACCGCGTTACTTGACAACGATGAATGGGTTCACCGTTTTTGACCAAAACGGTGATGTGTTCACCGTTGTTAATTAACGCGGTGAAATCTTAACCGTTTTAGTTTGAAACGGTGAATACTTCACCGTTTTTGTTTAAGACGATGAAGTATTCACCGTTTTGGTCAACAACGGTGATGACCTTCACCGCTTTTGTCTAAAACGGTGATGCTCAAACATGTGTACTTTGGGAAATTTTTTTATAACTCATGTATTTTGGGAATTTTTTTTAAGAACGTGTGTATAGTGAGATTTTTTCCTATATAAAACACCATTCTAGAAAATTCAAGCAAATCACAAATTAACTATACAAATTGTTCAACACCAATCTAGAAAACTCAAGAAAATTAAAGCAAATCACAAATGATTAATTGAAAGCTTCTTCCTTTCAATTAAATTTGTTCACTCTCCACTAGATAACATCAACTTCATTCTACACAATTATAAGGAAAAAATTAGACATATCTCCACAAACATAAATAAGATTAGTTGTTTAGAATATTAAATATACTAAGAAAATTAATTGGCAAAATACACTTGTATAGCCAAAATTTTCATGTTTGTGACAATAATAGCCAAATTTGAAGAAATATCACTTATAGCCAGATTTTGTAAAAGGTGTTGGACAAATATAGCCATTTTCATTAGATACTTTAAAGGTATTAATAACACCGTCAACTTCTTTGACGATTCGCTGACTAGGCACCAACTCAGCGCACACGTCAGCGCCAAATAAGTCGAAAATGACACGTCAGATATTAAAAAATATATCAAAAATTAAATCCCCACCCTCATACCCATCTGCTTTGCACGACGGAAACCTCTTTTTTCCGATTTCGTGTTTAGGGTTCGGCCCCTTAGCGGCGATTGAAGCTCCGACGACTGAATCTCCTGGAGGCGACTGAAAATTCCAGCAAGCCAAATAAAACCACCTCCAGATCCAATCCCCCCAAACTCTTCGACAAAGCAACAATCGAAAAACAAATTAAATCACTCCAAGATTTTCCAAAACAGACAATTTCAATCGGACAAACAACTGGGTTCTGCATATCTTGAGAGAGGGAGAGAGAGAATCCGAGCGGGAATAGAAAGATGGAGGGACGAAGCGAGCCCGAAAGGCGAAACTCTTCCGCAAGTTGATCACAAGTTCACGACCCCTGCTCTTCCCCTGATTTCGTCTCCTGTCAACACCGCCAAGCATTCCACGCCCAGATTCTCTGCTGCATCTACCCTCGTCGCAACCACCACAGAAAAGATTTACACCGCCAAAGTCCGAGAGACCGTCTCCGTTCCCAATGCCATCGCTAGAATCGACGAGTCCCGTGGAGTATTCGACACTGCAGTGAGATTCCCCAGCCGCTACGGTAAGCTTAGCATCGGTGTAGAGGTTTAGATCTGTCTGCTGGTCCATGAAATCGGTCGTGGCTTGAGTTGCTCGGAGGTCCGGTAAGGGCGTTTGGGTGATTGTGGCCTTGTGGGGCGCAACGTCGGCAAGAATGCTTTGCGGTAGGGATTGGGGGCACCGGGCATGGATGGTTGAAGGAGATCAGATGAGAATGGAAAAGAGAGAAGGGGACGCAGATGGAAAGGGTTTTTCCATTAATTCATTGTTTATTTTTTCCCATCCACGTGGAAGGGGTTTTCTTGGTATGCCATCATTCTGAGATTTTTGTTTTTTTAATTTACTTAAATTAAAGAATTAAACTTTAATGATATTCCACCTGACATTATTATCGAATAAAATATGCCATATCAACTCTTGCTGTTAGTCTAGTCAGACTTTTAGATAACGCCGTTAAAGTATTGGACGGAAGTGGCTATATCTGGTATTTCTTCAAAAGTGGCTATTATTGTCACAAACGCGAAAGTTATGACTATGGAAGTGTATTTTGCCAAATTAATTATATGGGTGTTGGCGGTACCCGTGAGCCGGGTTTACCCAACCCAACCCATGAATAGTGAACGACTTTAAACTCAAACCCGATCCAAAACCCGTCAACACAAATTTTACCCGCATTGACCGGATTGAGTCGAGTGGATACTCGTGAGTTCGGATTTTGTTGTGCAGGCGGTAGCACATATATTCCGGTAATAAATGACAAACTGAAGACAGAAGGAGGTGGTCCAATTTGGACTGTCCGACATGCTATTTAGGGGCAGAAGCCACCAGCCCAGCCTGGCGTATTATCCTCCCAACCTGTTAAAAGGCTTGAAATGGGCAGGCCAGAAAGCCAAGAACCCAAAGCCCAACCCATTAAAGGCCTGACCCAATGCACCACCTCATAAAGCCGTGAGTCATAGAGTAAAACTGGCTGGTTTCTGAAATGCAACCAATCCATATTCCATAGAACCACGAAAATAATAAACTATAAACTGGCCGGATTGGATTTGGACTAGCTATGATAACCCTATCAGAGGAATTTTACGATGTTTTGTTCACAAAAAGAGATTTTTTATGATACAGAACTTGTTCCGTTATGATACAAATTCAATTGAAATTCGTACTTTTTTTTGTATTAATTCATTTATGGTACAAAGTGAATTTGTATATTTATTAATACAAATTGGGCTGGTACCATAACATAAATGCACAATTTTATTTATGGTACAAACTATTTATGGAAAACTAAATGCCTAATTGCTCTATTGTAGCCATATTAAAACTAAAAAATGGAATATAAAATTATCAAATTTTTTTTTTATAATGTTGATATAAAATTATCAAAATTGTAAAGTAAATGACTAATTATTAAAATTATCACCTCAAAGTATCGAACATCTATGTTAGGCTGCCCTGCCAGAGTTATTCTAAACCATAGATAAGGTAAATGCTAATTAAAAAAAAAAGGAGATTTCTATGAGCTAACAAATGGTCTGTCTAGCGATAGAATCGCCGGTATTCAACCTGAATGTCTCAATTTCGAATTTATTAAACATAATCTAACAACAGAAATAAAATCGAAATTTACCCGAATAAAAGAAGATCATATATGAATATGTAAAAAGAGAGTGATGGCAAAGAGATAGTCAGCACAATTTGCCAAAAGTTTGGTCAGTCAATTCTTTTCTATTATACCCACCCTGAAACTTCCAAATGAAAAGGACAGTTCCAAGTTAAACTTCAACTTCAACACTCCCTCCCTCCATCCGATTCCAACTCCATACATAAACTCAAAACAAGCGTTAAAACTCCAACCAACTCTACTCTCACACTGCCCACTGACAAACAAACAAACCACCGTGAAACACTGCCCCGCAAGTTGATTAATTGTTTTTGTCCAGATTGATCCCAGTCTCATGCTAAAGAACAAGAAACTTCCCGGCCCATCCGCTGCCGCCCCTCGGCCCAAGTTGACGAAGATGGACTTGTTGCCACTTGCCAGCGTCCAAACCGCTACCATCCAACCATATCTCACGTCACTTCACATCACTTCATACTCAGGAGAACCTCGAGCCCTAAACGACACCACATTACCTGACAAATCCCAAAGGATTATAAACTAGATCACACTTAAAAATGCTCAACAAATATTTGTCAAAACTTGTAGATCTACCGCTTTCTAAGTAGGGTGCGTGGCTAAGCAGTTGTTTGTAAACCCTATCTCTGGAGAATTTCAGCCAAACTAAGAATTAGGGTTGGGAAACGGTGCGGTCTGGTCGGTTTATGGTTTAGATCGAGAGGTTGGAGTATTGATCATAGACTATACGGTCCTGTTCATACCACGCCTGTGCGGTCTGGTCCGGTACGGTCTTGTTCATATAAACCACACTCAACGAAAAATGAACAATTTGTTTAGTCAACCACATAAAAAGTTGAACCAATAACCAGGGAAATTTTTTTTTTTGTATTGGAAAATTAATTTTAACATGCATGAATAATTTTGACACCCTAAATCATAGTTCATAACAAAGATACAAAGTAAAAGCATCCCAACGTGCACCATAACGTCATAAACATTAACATAATTTCACATAGAGACACGATTATCTCTACTCTCTAGTGAAATGTGGTTGTGAATGAAGTAGGGGACGAGATTCTCAAAATTAAGGTTGAGACTTGGGTGTCGTTGTGGGAGTTGGGATAGTGGTCGAATGGGCTGTTAATACGTATTGAAAATTCGGTTGGGTTCACGGTTTGGTTCGGTAAACCGCGGACCAGACCAGACCAAGAAATCAAAACATCAAATATTACAGACCATGGATCAGATCAGACCATACTTAATGGTCTACGGTACGAACCAAGCTATACGATCTAGTTTGGACCATAATTTTTCTAACGATCTGGTCTATTTTCCTAGCCCTGCTAAAAAACTTAGTTTCTCCTCATTTGATTGGTTTTTTCTTCTCTCAATTTTCTCATTTATTTCTACTATTATTCTATCTCTTGCCAACTTTTAGCCTTGGGTAATGCTGAGGGTCGGCGACGGAGCCGGAAATCGTGAGTTGATGAGTTTCCATCTAATAATGTTTTGTGTGTATGTAATGTACGTGTAGTTTGAGTGGAGGTTTGTGTTTTGTCCGTTCCAATTTCCAACAACAAGTCGTCTTCTTTTCACTTGTCCTCATCACTGTACGATGGCCAGAGTTTTGTTTGGTTTCTTTGTGTTTGGATTTTGGTAGAATAGCTATAGCCTATAGGATAGGATCGAGTTTGGGAAGAAAAGCTCCAGTACTTTGACTTCCTTACTATTAGTTTAACCGTTACGAAAAATTGTTTGCTAAATGTGTGAATGATTTCTTAACAACGGTAGCTAACTACGTACCTAGGCAGCGGACGGAGGTGCAATGGCCTTCTCACATGCAATAGTCTCGATGCAATTTTTTCGTGCTAAAGGCAAGAATGCATCGTCCTAGATCTTGTTTTTTCTTCTTTCTACTTGTTCATAGCCGATTATGGTCTCATGTTTCCTTGTGGATGTGCAGATCTCACTGCTGATGGCTCGTCGCACGAAGATCATATGGTCGGCGTATGGGAACCTATAGGTGACTATGGTATGCTAATTGACGCTCATTTCTCCCTTTTTTTCCACCCTTTTAGTAGCACCTTGTGACATGTATTTGTAAAAAAAACATCGAATTGAATATGAAATCAGTAATGACAAAAGTAATCTCAACATTTCATCTTGAGGTCCAGAGAAAATACAAATGGTAGGTTTGATGTGGGCTCCTTGCTTCGAGCCTTTTTTCTTTTCTTTGATGGGCTTTTTATTTTTGTTTCATTTGGTGGATCTGTATCGAGCCATGTGGGTTGTTTTCATTTCCGTATCTAATTTCTGTTCTTTAATCCTAAATATTCTTTGTGAAAAAGAAAAAACCAAGTATTCATAAACTTTATCTTTGATTGAAAAAATCTCCTATTGGAAGCAAAATCGCTAGATGGTATTTGCAGTATGAAACGATTAAACTACAGTTTAACCACGATTTCAACATAAAATACCCTATTACTGACTTTTCCAGTACAACCTCCGATACGATTTTTAATTTTTTTATATAAATTTTTTTTTTCATCCAAACAAGAATGAAACGATGTCACAGAGATGGCCGTTAAAATTGGCGCCCCTTTGTCATTTCAAACAGTGGAGAACTAAGTAGTTTAATTAGGAATATCCACTGACAATAGCTTAATTATATGCGCATGTAACAGTCGAGCACACAATTGCATGCTGCGAAGTGAGAAACAAGTTTTCAAACTTACTCAATAATAATATTTTTATTTATGTCAAGGCTTAAAAGTCCAACTCCAACCTGACTCAAAGTCGCCCCTAGCTAAGCTAGATTCCACCACAGAACCCAATTTTAAAAAGCAACGAACATAATTAGTACATAAATTGAACCCCAAAACTAAGATCCCACCACGTCTGAACTCTTCCATGTCAAACCCATATAATAATAATAATAATTAATTACAATAAGATATATACAGGTTAGGGAATATGATTCCCAATGCCAATGTTCACCGTTTCGACCACGCTATCTTCTTCCCATGTCTCCTTCGTTTCTCTTTTCTCCACCAAGCTAAAACCGAGTAAGTATTAAATGCTTAATTGCCGACATCTACAGTGCATGTCAAATAGCCAGGCCCAGCTTTTTACCTATATAAATAGTAAATTTACTTCAAAGATCCAACTAGATTGGAATTACATTGTTGCTATGATAAGAACGAAACCGACTGAAATTAGCACTTAAGAGTTGCGACAATGTAAATGTCAACACTAACTAAAATCGTATTGTCTATTATTAGTTTCAAACTCTATACATCTCGACGAGGATAGAGAACTAGAAACATGCTGATGTTTAAGTTTGACAAAATTATTATATATATTTTTCAAATGGTAAACTTTTGTATTTTTAATCAAATTCTATATCAGCAATAATATTGTTTATTATACATTGGTTAAAAATTTGTTGGGGGCAGAGTATGCATGTCACAGAGTTCAAAACCACACATGGGGATTTAATTTAGCACACTAATTCACATCCCACCTCGAACGCTGTCTCCTTGTTCAACATTAGTCAATGATCAATGCAATCATACTTATAATGTCAAACATCGGATTTCCCAACACAATTACTAATTAACTAATCACCTTACTAATCCACACTCAGCAGCATTGACAAATTTCATTTTCTCATTCATCAGCACGTTAATTAATTAAGTTGAAACCAACAAGATGATTGTAGTAACAAAAATTACAACTGTAATTAATGACAATTTTAATTAACACTCGTTCTTCTATGTACTCTCTTCTCTTCCTTTTCCCCCAC